CATGATGGACTGTAATAAGGGCTGCTTGGACCTTATCTTTTGCTTCTTGCAATCGAATTTGCAAATCTGTGTGTTGCAACATCTGCTTCACCAAAGTTATATTCATTCCTATGTGTCTAAGGGTTTAACATACTCATGCAAAACAAAATCAGCTTTAAGCGCTTGACTAATATATGCAGGGACATCATAATTAAAATCACAGTCTTCAGGCTTTAACACGTTGCAGAAGCATTGATTTACACCGTAGTCCACAGTGTAATTATAACAATCATTAGCAATTATATTTTTACATTGGGTTCGAACGCACACACCCCCTTTTCCTGCATAAACAATAACTGACTTATTATATGGATTGGCATCCAATTCAAAATGACATTTCCCTTGGAATGGGTTAAGACACAAATCCATTAATTTTATCACATGGTCTTCACAAACAAATCCAAGACCATGTTCTACAACACAGGCTTCCAAATTAAGAGCTTTCTAAGTATTATTTTCTTGACAGGCCCAGCTTCTGTGATCCATTGGATATAAAATGCAGCAATTAGCATTTGGATATACTTGTAAATGCTGAGCCTGTGTGACAGTTGTCACATATGCCACAGTGATATTCTGTGCAACGTCCAAGATAAAATTGACCAATTTTCACAAATTTTGCAAATTTAACTCTTCTTTGGTGGCATTATCCCAAACTATCATACAAATTTCATTTGGAAAAATGCCATTTTCACTTTCTCAAATCAAATTCATCATAAGGTCTGCATCGAGGTTTGCACTTGAATGCAGCTTAATGCTAGGGATATGTCACCTTCCAGTGCTCCCAAGACATTTGCTATAATTTGTGTGGCATTTTCTTCTAATTGTTCCCATTCAGGAAGTAGCATGGTAGCAAAAAGGTAACTTGTTCCTAATGCTGTCAATGAGGACTTTAAATGGAACTGTCAGGGTTCCGAGTTTTGTTCCAATACTATGTATTTTGTTAGCCAAAGTCTCGTCATTTACAGTATTTATGATTCCCAAACCTGTTTTGGTTCCTCCAAGGACTGTTCCTAAGATGTCACGCTTTTGTTTTCTACAGGGGTCCAAGTACCATTTAGCCATCCATGCTTTCCATCCTTCCTCTAATGGGGTTATAAAAGGAGCACACGCCTTGTTAATTCTAACCACATTTGCAGCATTTAAATTTTAAATAACCTTTTTCAAAGATCATTTTGATTTTACCAATACTTCTTGTTCCAAATGCTGTTTTACTACATACACTCTTACTGGTTGATTTTGAGGTTTCGGAGTGTATTAGAGAGGGACAACAACTTCACAAAGACCCTCATAATGGACTATCCAATCTCCATTAAGGTTGTTATTAAGTGTGATATTCCATTCTATGCTACACTTCCATTGGGACCACATTGGACAATGTTCTGGAATCACACAAGTTAGAGTTTCCTGTTTGCCTCAGATCTCAAAGCTGAGAAGGGTTTTTGCTCTCCTTGCACATGATATCAGTAATTTTGAGTATTTTAGAACCTTGCACTGCAGACTATTACAGAACATGGCTATGTATAGGATCATAGGAAAGTAGGGCTGGAAGGAACCTTATAAGGTCATCTAGTCCAGCTGCCTGCTCAAGGCAGGATCATCCCTGTCTAAATCATCCCAGCCAAGCATCTATCCAACCTGCTCTTGAATATTTCCAATGCTTGACCATACTCATAAAATGTTCCGCCTAATCTCCAAATTAAATGCCCTGCTGAAGGCTGAGGCCATTGATCCTAGTCCTGTCCCCTATTGCCACAGAGAAAAGCCCACCTACAACCTCTCTATGATCAGGTATTTGGGGGACTATTATTAAATTACCCCTCAGTCTTTTCTCCAGACTAAGTTTAAACAATTTCTAAGTTTATTCTATTTCTTAGTTTTTTCTAATTATTTCTAAGTTATTTCTATTTATTTTGTAACATTACTTAGAAATAAATACATTTCTATGTATTTCTAATTAATGTCTTTCTAACTAATAGCTGTTTCTAAATTTTAAACTATTTCTAGCTATTTCTAAGTTTAAACTATTTTAAATCTACAGTTGAATTATTGGTTCTGTTCAGTAGATATTTTAAGATTTTTTAAACAATCTGAATATTTGAGCTTCCCACTTCTTCCCCTTGTGTGAAAATAATATTAGCATTGTTAAATGAATACTAGACATGTCTTCTCAATTTCTACACAGTCCGTTTTTATAGATGAAGCATTTTCTTTCAGCCCCTGATATATTGCATTATACAATCTTAATTAACCTCTGGGGCACAGGCCTAACTCTACTTTTGTTTCATGTCTGTGCATGTCCAGGCTTTTGTTTCACCATTCCACTAACTGAGACTATGCGAGAAAGAACATAATATTTGAAAAAGTACAGCCTGAATCTTAAAACAATAGTACATGCTAATTCTAGTTTTCTGTGACTTTCAGTGTCAAAATATCAAATCAGAGATTAGATTTCAGTGATGCTGTTTTATACATGCTCAAGAAGTTTTAATGTGCTACTTGCCTTATATATACAATCAGTGTCCCTACCTTATGTTTTAAGCCAGGAGATGTTATAGTAGATAGTTGAGGGGACCAGCATCCACAGGTCCCCTCAACTCATTCAGAGAGCAGTGGGTGCTGGCTAGTATGCTCAATATCCCCTTCTGGATCTCGTTTTGAACCTGTAACCCTTTGTCTAATTCCTGTTTTCTTTTTTATTTCTCCCAAGCAATCAGTTGTTGCGTTCTCAGTGGCCTCCCTTTTTAAGAGGGACTTATGGTTGTTTGTGGTGGCCCATGTTTGCCAAACACAACAATAGGCCTGTTATATGGATTAGTAACCGCCCCTAATAACAGGGGGGGCTAATAGTTTCCGTGTGGGCTCATGCCCACATTTCTTTGTGAATCAAAAAGGCCTGTGTCACAGTGGCAGAGAGGGTATGGTGAAAGTAAAAGGGAACAGGGAGTTTTTCCCATTTCTCTTCCACTCGTAGCCTCCAACATTTAAGGCTGGCTGCAGCGTTGACATGAGAATGACAGTCTTCTGGTAACTAGGAAAGTCATGGGGGACCAGGGGAGTCAACAGATGGCTAAGGATGCCAATCCAAGACCCACACATTCAACTGCAGATATGGCGAATGGTTCCAGAAGGAAGGGGCAGATCCTGGTGACATCAGGTCCTGCTGTTTCCAAGCACAACAGCCAGCCCACTAATTTTCCTTCTTTCTTCCTATCTGAAGAAAGCCTTGAATGTGTGTGCTGTTGGTTTCATGTGGGTGAGATGCACTGTTCCACTGAGGGCTCATACAACAACACATGTGCTGATGCACGGACAATTCCTACTGCTGTGATGCATTGGGAAGCTCTTGGCTGACCACAGGGAGGGGGGAGGCAGGTATCATATGCCCAGACCCCAAATTCCTTAGTGACTAGAAAGCAGGATGCTACTGAGAGAGGACACAAACACCTGGACTGAGCCTTTCAGAGTCCATCTTCAGAACCATTTACAGGGTCAGACCATAAATCCATCTTGCCTAGTATTGTGTCACACAGTAGCAGCAAGTAGATGCTGAAAGGGAGATTCACCTGGGTATGAGCAGGGTTTTTCCTACTCTTCCTCTCCCACTTGCAGCCCGCAGCTTTTAAGGTCTAGGAAGTTCTGATTCAGAGGCAGTATCCTCAACCCCCATGCTCAATAACTACTGATGGCCTTTCCTCCAAGAATTTTTCCAGTCCCTTTTTGAACCAGCTAAACTGTCAGCTTCCACAGCACCTGGTGGCAATAAGTAGGGACCTACGGAAGTTGCAGCAGAAGTTTGCGGTGCAGCAGCCCCTTTAATCACTGGCATCAGGGGACACCAGGGGCATGCTCCCCCCAGATTTCTCCTCCAACAGCGGGGCACAGGTACGGGGCTGCAGCCTAGCAGTGGGGTTGGTGGCACAGAGTTGTGCCCCCCACTCTCAAAGCTTACGTGTTGTTTATGCCTTTAATGTTGCTCTTTTTGCCACACACAAGAGCGAGATTACAGGCACTGCTGTGCCAGGAACTACTGCTGCAGTTTAGGTAGGTCCCTAGCAAATGATTCCCTCACTTTCATTACATGCTGGGTGAAAGACCTTCATTTTGTTAATTTTAAACTTACTACCTGCTTGTTTCCTTTCTTGACCCCTTCTCCTTGTATTAAGACACCAAATAATAAATCCCTACTTACTTTCTCAACCCCATTTTCTATTTCGTAAACCCTCATCACAGCCCCCCTCAAGCCTCTTTTCTAAACTGGCCACACCCAGCCTCTTTGGTCTCCCTCCTCATGTGGAAGCGCCCCCCCCCCCAGCCCTTCTCTGGCCCCTGGCTCTAGTTCCTCTCTCCTTCTGTGAGGCGAGGGGCCCAGAGCTGCAAGCACCTATGCTGGACACTTTTAAGAAACATTTGGGTATCTATCTTGTTGGGATCCTTTGACCCTGGCTGACTTTCTGCCCCTTGGGCAGGGGCCTGGACCTGATGATCTTATGAGGTCCCTTCCAGCCCAAACGTCTATGAAAACTAGGCACAGCAGCATTCAAGGTGTGGATGCACCAGGGATTTATAAAGGAGCAGGATGACACTTGTGCACAAGTCCCCTCTGAACGATCCCCAGCGCCTTGTCTGCCTTTCTGACGGCTATCATCGGCGCCCTGCCCACGATGCCTCCCCCCTCTCCTGTGAGGCAACAGCTAAGGTGGAGCCCACCACTGTGTCGCTTCAACTGCAGGAAATATGCAGAACTCCTGGCATAGGCGAGATCTGTGACGAGACCAAGTAAACGCTTGCACCGGAACCTGCCTGCGCCCGCCCTCAGCCCTGCCCTCTACCGGGCAGCTGCAGAGCGCGGGCCCCGCCCACCGCCACCGCCTCTTGGCTCCGCCCCCTGCCGGTGCCCCATTGGCTCTTAGCCCCTGCTCAGCACAGAGCGCGAGGCCGCCCGCCCCCCGCCTAGCCACGCCCCCAAGGCGCCGCGGCGTTCTGTCTCCACGACAACACCAGATCGGCGCGTCCTGGCGGGGCCGGAGGCGGGTAAATGGGCGGATTCTCCGGGCTGCGGTTAGGATTGGGGAAGGGGGTACCTGCGCGCGACCCCCGGGCCGGTTTGGATTGCCCCGTCCCCCCAGCGGCTGTCCGCGCTGCCAGTATGAAGCAAAGCGCACCCTGCATTGGAAGAGGCTGCTTTCGGGGTTCCGCGCACGCGCGGAGCTTTCCCTGCCGCGCGTGCGCAGAGATACCTTCCCAGCCCGGGGCATGCGCAGGGGGGTGAAGTATTCATTGTGCATGCGCAGCGGCCGCTGGCGTAGTTGTGGGGTGGCAGGGAGCGCAGGCTCGCCCTCATTTACATTTTAGTCCTATTAATTTTATAGCCAGGTCGATTACTATAATTGTATTAATGCTCAGAGGGCAGGAGCTCCTCTGAGCCTGTGACAGAAGTGTTAGCGCCTCCTCTGCACACAGCAGGAGCTGGTGTTCATTACTTATGCCTCAAAGACTCTCATATCCCCTTGTTCGTGACAGCTGCGGCCAGCGGTTCCAGTGCTGCACCCAGTAGAAGGAGGATAATGGGCAACTGTCAAGTTGCCCATTAACACCGCAAGGGAAATGGTCAGATAAGTGTTATTGGGGCAAACAGTTGAAATGGGATTTGTGTATCACAGCTGTATCCACCTTACGAATTCTTTACCAAATCCCGTGTTTTGTAATGCACAAAAAAGGTGCTTCTAGGAAACACAATCAAAGGCCTCTACATCAGGTGCTAAGAGAGCCATAGGGACTTTGCAATTTTGTACTTCTCTGCTAGTATAGCATTAGCCTGATGTATGTTGCCTGAATCATGACTTTTTTTATCATGTCCACTCTGCGCTCCCTTCTCGCCCCTCATGATAGACCCCCCCCCACCACTTGTCAGGGATGCTGTCAGAGGCTCCAGTGAGATTCCCCATTTCTCCAGCTCCGCAGAAACCTCCGCTGCCTTCAGAAATGCCACCAAGTGATTTCTTTTTCCTGCCCATGTTGGTGTGAACCACAGGGCCTAGTCCTGGTCACACAGGATGAGAGAGATTTCTCCTGTCAGGTGACAGCAGGATGTCTGATCCAGTCTTGCCCTGTGCTCCCTGTCCCCTCCAGAGCCCTTCCCTTGTTGTTGGGGTCTGGGATGGCATGGAAGGGGGTGTCGGTTGCACATGGTCTCGAGGTTTGTGGCCTATGGTGCAGGGCAGATTACTAGCAGTGGACCATGGCAGTAAAAGGTTGTCAGCCCTGTAATAGATCCATTTTCATCTTAAATAGACTGTGTGTGGGGTTCAGAGATATTTTTTCCCAAAATAAGAACATTTTCCTCCCAGTGAATTAATCAGAATACTCACTACATAATAATAAAGGGCAGTGTGTTGGTCCCTGGTCAGTGTCCGCTCCAAGCAACTGAAAATGGAAAGAAGGAGAATGGGAGAATGGAAAAAAAAAAGAATAATGAAGAGAGGCAGGCAAAATTGTTTTATATGCTACGTTTGTATATTTTCCCTTTTTCATTTTGTTTTTCATACAATTTCTTTCCGCTTGGAAATACTCTTGTTGCTTGTGTGCCACTCCACTGTAAATCACCTCTGCTGCCTTGTCAAGCTGTTAGTAAACACTTGGAAGGCTGAGAGGTCTTGCAGAAAACATGTAGTCTCAGTAAAGGTTGCGGTGGGACAAAGAGATGATGAAAGACGCATCTGTCGTGTATTATGATGAAACCTGTTACTGTGCTGTTTGTCTAGAATGGCTCACGCTCAGGCTGAAAGTGTCATTAAGAACATCATCCGTGAAATAGGACAAGAATGTGCCATCAAAGGACAAACTGTGCCTGAAACCTTGGTGGCTTTCATGGTAAGAGCAAAATGAGTATTTTAGCCATGCATTAACCTGTTAGCGTTATTTGGATCATGTTAACATCCCTCTGAGATTAGTGACATTTTCAATGAGCAGGTACAAAGATTTAGCAATTGAGCATATCGCTCTTAAATTTTATACTTGGGTGTCTATAGTTAGTCATCTAGATCTGTTTTTTAGATGTTGATCCTGCAAAGATTTAAATTTTACTTGCTGTAACACCCCCTGTGTCTCTGAGACTACTTGCAATGAATGAAGTTAAGCAAAGGACTTAAAATTCCTTGGCCTTAACGCTCAGAAGAACAGCTTCAGTAGAGCTAGAAGTGACGTGTTGTAGTCAAGAGCTTCATTGATTTGATATAAAGGAGTTTTTGTGAAGTGCTTATTCTGGGCATAGGACTCAATAGTGCACAATGGCACCAATTACTGTAAACAGTTATAAATACGTGTGAAGTCACTCTTGTTTAGTCTCATTGATCTATGGCGGCAGAGTTTTGCAGCTGTGGGCTGGGGCAACCTGGCTCATGTCTGAGGGAAGTCATTGTCCCAACCTGGCTGCTGCCACCACCACCATTGCTTTTCCTTGTCCCTGCTTCTCCCTGCCCCCTACCCTCCCATGGCAACTAGGGATGTAAATATTGTTTACAAATTATCCATTTAACCTCCTCTAAGTATACTGGTTAAACCGTTAACTGATAACATACACCTAGTCCTGGCCAAGGGTTGTGGAGCCCCGGGCTGGAACATGCTATGCCACACCCTGTAGTGCAGCAGAGACCACAGCCATCTTCCCAGAGCAGCACAGGGAGTCAGGGGCTGTGCACAGACCCACTGAAGACACAGCTGCTGCTGGGAACTGCTCCCCAGGGCCTTTGTTGGCAGGGAGGAGATGGCAACAATCCCCACCAGGCAACATAGCCCATGTGAAGCTGCAGGCGGCAGTAGCAGCATAAAAGGGGCTTTCCCAGCCCACTGCAGCTGCTGGCGCGCTGGGAGGGAGGGAGCAGGTCTGTTATCTCCCTCAAGCTAGCTTCTCCCACGCCATGGGCGACTGGTGCCTCCCAAGTCTGGAGGTAACCAGATCGCTGACTGGGGTGGGGGGGTGGTGAAGAGCCAAGCCAGCAGGGAAACCAGAAGGGCACTTCCAGTTTTGCAGCTGGTGCTTCCAGGGGGTGCACATGCACCCCCTACATGTTGCCAGTGCCCCACACCTATGAAACAGCAGCTAATTGTTTAATTGAGTCATTAGGCCACCTGCTGTTTTGCTCTTTAACCTCTTAAGCTAGCCCTCTTCCCGGTCCTCTCCCTCTTGCCTGGCCCGCTACCTTTGTGTTCCTGAGGTGCTGCACTGCTTCCCTTCTCCACCCGATTGTGCCCTGGACTAAACTTTAACCAGTAATGCATTACTGGTATAAATATACTTCTCATTTAAACATTTAACCTTTCACACCCCTAGGGGCAACATGGGCACAGTTCCCCACTGCCTGGTCCCAGTGTAGCTCCTCACTGCCTGGTTCTGGGACAGGAGTTGGGCAAAGTGCCCTGCTGTTGCCAAAGCCCCATGGCTTTACAGTTCCATATGATGCTAACTCCTGAACTATGACCTTCTGGGATACAGTTAAGTTGCTGATTCCCAAAGGGTGTGCTAGGGTACTCTAGTGTGCCATTGAGAGCAGTAAAAGGTGCTGCCAAATCCCTGCTGCTGCCCGATTCCCTTATGTTAGGTAAATGTTATCCTCTCCCATCTGGTATCCTGTGCCTGCCCCAGCTACTCCAGTGGTGTCTGCAGCTGCTTCTCTGGAGACTGCTGCCACTGCTGCCTTTCCCCCACCTTTCCCAACCCTCAGATAGCCCCTGTGTGCCTCCCACCTGTGCTCCCAGGAGTACCTTTGCTGTTTGCAGGCAGGTGGGTGGATGAGCCTGGCTGATCCCCTCCACTCCTCCCATGACCCAGAGGCCAGCAGGAGGGGCCACGGAGATGGCTGTCAGTGTAAGACTGCAGGAGTAGCCTCAGGAGCAGCCTCAGGAGCAGGGGCTGTCCTTGCCTCCTGAGGTAAAGATCTGGGGTCTGGAGAAGCCAGACAGTGGAAAGAGCAGGGCACAGCAGGATGAAGTCCTGCCTTGCTGTCCTTAAGTGGCATCAACTAGGTTAGAGCTTCTCAACTTTTTTAGCCTCAAGGCCTACTCCATATCTTTTCTGAATTTAGATTTAGCTCAGTGATTTTTCAGCTGAGGTGCCATGAAATTCAGAAAAGTTAAGGGGAGGGGCACTAAGGCTAAAAAGAATGAGAATCACTGGTTTAGAGACTAATTTTTTGCTTAAAGAAAGATGTATTTGGTGTCATTTTTAACAGTATATCTCAGCGCTAGTATGATTTCTAAAGTTTGGGAAACACTAAGTTAAGTTCTTTCTTGCATACGGCAGGGATTAGAGTTGGGTAACTGTAGGACCTAGCCTATAAATTATAGGGAAGAGTGAAGTAATAATGACAATAATTTACAACAATTGTATCCTTTTTAATCAAAGGTAGAATGACACAAGTTGGTGGTCTGGTATCTAAGAGTGAAAAAGAAGTTAAAGTATTAGATAAAAAACTTTTGATGAATTATAAATTAGCTGCTTTATCCAATATCTTTTGCTAACTGGTAGGTGAAAGCTGTTGTTTTGGATCCAGAGAATAACTTCAATGTGGATCGAACCCTCACAAAGAATGATGTGCAAAAATTGATTAAGGTAATTGTGAAAATTCTTGAAAAACTCAGCGATATTGCACACAATAGAGGGCATCTGCCTGTCTGTAGTAACAAAATATACTGCCAGTACCTTCCATAAACTCTTACATAAAATTATTCAAAGCAACCAGTATTGTTGGGAAGTCTAAACAATCTAACTGCTGGCTAAAATGTTATGTTTTCTAACTTCAGATTAATTCCAGAGATCTAAAATAGAATGACTAGAAATTTATTTATATGCAGTAAAAGCTGTGTTAACTGGCATTTTATTAACCAGAATACTCTGTTAACTAGAATTTCCAATATCCCCCACTACAAATCCTCACTTTAGCAACCGGAATCTTTGCCAAGTATATCCAGCATGCACATCAATTATTTTTGTTGTTTACACTAGTTAGTGGCACTGTGCAGGGCAGGGTGGGCTGCCACTGCAGGGTGGAGCCAGGGCAGCACTGTGCTGTTCCCGGCAGGGGTGGCCAGGCTGTGCTCCTATCTTCCTTGATAGGTATAACTCAAGTATCTGGAATTTTTAGGTAACTGGCACCCCTCTTACTCCACTCATGCTGGATAACAAAGCTTTTACTGTATATATTTATTAGGTTGATATGCTGCCATCACCAAAAGAGGCTTAGGCCTTAGAACTTACACTATTATAAAGTCAGATAAAAATATCTGCCTATAAAAATATCTGCCACTCTCGTGCCAGATAAAAGTACTAAAATCAAATAATATGTAATAAAATAAACTCTTCAAACAATGTCTGAAAACCTAATCCCACCTGCAAATAAAAAGTTCTTACAGCACTTTTGGAAGATGACTAGTCTCAGGCTCTGGAGGACCACAATGGGGAACATAGTTCTAGAGCTGAGTGACTCCTGAGAATGACTTCCTACATTTTCACCAAACTAACTTGGTGCCTTGATGATTTTTGCAGGAGGCTGTTCTCAGCTGACATTAGGGATCTGACGGAATGCAAAGGAAAAGGCAGTCCCTTAGGCATGTGGGGTGCAGAAGCTTCATAGGCTTATAGGTCAAAATCAAGACTTGGAATTGGCAGCCCCAAAACCAACACTTGTGAATTGGTAGCCCCTTGAATACATTAAAGTAATCTAGCCCCCTGAGGTTAAGAAATTATGCACAACGGTGGCCAAATCTAAATCCGAGAAAGGGTTGCAGCTTTCACCAGATGGAGTTGGTGGTAGGTACTCCTAGCCACCATCACAGCCTGAAAATCCCAAAAACCTGACACTTGATCAATTTCCTAAAAGGCCTTTTTGTTCTGAGGTATAAATTATTTTCAAAATTTGTGCAATATTTTATTCTTGTGGATCTATAGGCGAGAAATGGATTTTTCATTCCCTAGTGTGCCAGTTCATGGCAGGAGACTTTGTGGAGGAGAATTAACTTGTTCCTGTTGAAATAGTAATGTTGCTGGTGATGTTTTATGAATTTGCTAAGTGGCTGGAAAAGATTCACTTATGTCTCTCTTCTTAGCTCTGTATCGATAGACTGCTTGACACAACAAATCCATCCTTGGATACCATTAAGATGCAAGTCTTCTTTGATATGAATTATATAAACAGAGGTAATTTTAATTCGTACAAATATTAAATATGTGTGAGATGATAAAATGCTATCTAGCTGTATTATTTAACGTGTATTTTATATTATTTTTATTGGAGTATTAAATGCACTTATCAGAATCTAAAGGGGATGGATGCTGTAGAAGAAAATAAACAGAAATTTGGATAGGTCTGTTATGCTATGCAGGGTTACAGCATGCATGCAACAAGGAGGATGTATAATGGGGTCAGAATTCAGAGTACAAGGGGTGGGTGTGTGCACCCGGATTGGGGTGGGAGCAGTGACAAGGGCTATGGGGAATTTTAGGATGGCTGCAGCCCCACCCCCCATAGCCCCCGGTCCACTGCGCTCTGCAGGGCGGGCGGAGCCAGGGCTTCGCTCCGGGCAGCAAGCCCCCACAGCTGGGCTGCACTCCGCAGGTCAGGCAGAGCCAGGGCAGCGCTCCAGGCTGGGGCTAGCCGCCTGGAGTGCAGCCCTGGCTCTACCCGCTGCGCAGAGCGCAGCCCGGTGGCTGGGGCTAGCCTTCCAGAGCGCACCCTGGCCCAGCCCGCCCTGCCCTGCGCAGATCTGGGGGGACATGCCTGCTCCCTTGTCCTCCTGGATTGGCGGTGAGAGCTGTCAGAAGAGCCACTGGGAGAGCAGTTCCCAGACCAGCGGCACACAGTGGCAGGAACCCCCCTCCCTGATTCCTGTGCTGCCCCAGCTGGGAGCTTGTCCCAGCCCCAGCTCCCTTGTTGTGGAGGTGTTGATCTGCCTCCCCCCATGCCCATTCCTTTCCCCCTTTGCCTACCACAACAGACTTCCCAGCTGGAGGCAGCTGTGTCCACCATGGTCAAGAACTGCTGCCTGTATAGTCTATGGCTGAATCTCCTAATCTCTCCGAATTGATTCGGACCTTTTAATGAGTCTCCCGATTCAGTTCAGATTCAGAGATTTGGCCGGCGAATCAGGCTGAATGTCCTCCGAATCAAAACCGCTACCAAAGCTTCACACAGCCCGAGTCAACAACCTGTGGCTTGTGGGCCAGATGCAGACCATAAAGAGGTTGGATCTGTGCCATAAAGGTTTAATCTGTCTGATCCAGTCTCACATTTTGCTACCCATACCTTCCACAACCCTTCTGTTGTCGTTAGGACCAGGGATTGGAAGTGAGGGTAAATGCAGGCTGCATGTGCTCTCTGGGTAGTAGGGATTTGCAGCCTACAGTGCCGGTCAGATTGCTAGCAGTGGACTACAGCAGCAGAAGGTGGCTAGGCTCTGTAATAGATCTGGTTTAATTTTAAATAGACTGCGTGTGTGGTTCAGAGATTTTTTTTCACAAAATAAGAGTATTTTTCTCTTAGTGAATTAATGAGTTACATTACTTATTATAACAAAGGTAAGTACATTGGTCCCTGGTTAGTGTCCACTCCAAGCAACTGAACATGGAAAGGAGAAAGATGAGGGGACAAAAAAGAGGAATAATGAACATCAGAGGGCAGCAAAATTAATTGGATAGGGAAGGCTGAGAGCCCTGGGGCTTTACCTTTAAGAGATGATAAGTTGTAAAAAAAAAAAAAAAAATAATAATTTGAAAGATTTTCCTTGACTAGCACTGACTTTGCTAGTGGATTTTTAAACTCAGCCAAACTAAGGGTCTTTTTCCAAAGCCTGCTGGCATTGGATTGAGTCTGGAATGCACAAGTGGTAAAAATTCTGTTACTGTGTGTGGGGTACAGTGAAAATGAGAAAAATACTTTGCTCTACCTATCCTTTACAACTCTCTTTTCTTCCCAGTTGAATTACTTAATGAACAGCATCACATTGTAGAGTCCAGACTGGCTTCTGTAACCCGAGAAATCACAGACAGCCGTGCTCGTACACGAGAAGAACTGGAAAGTGTTTACCGAAAGATTGTTAGCTATGTGCTGCTGCGCTCAGGTCTTGGATCTCCAACAGACATCAAGGCTGTCAGGGAGGCAACAGGTCAGGAATCACTTAAATTGTGATAGTGAGTTTTCATTATTGGAAAATCAAATCTGGGCTTGATTCTGTTGCCCACGCTAGTTATTTTTCAGTCACTAGCTAGGAGTATGGTAAAATGAAGCATTTGTGAGTACCTAAGCTCTTTTCTTCAAATTTATAATACACTTGGCTTTTTTCACTACTGTATCTTAGGAAGAGGTGTTTTTATTATCTTTATATTTTCAGTTCTTCTTCTTATGCTTACTGCTATTTTAAAATAATTTCCAGCTGCCTTGCAGAGTGTGTTTCCTCAAACGGAGATGGGAGTCTTTCTCTCTCTCACTAAGAAGGACAAAGAGCGACAGCTGAAAGAACTAACAATGACTGTTACAGGAATTCGGTTATTCAACAAAGACACTGGAAAAGGAGGAGAAAGCATTGATGACAGTAGGTATATCACTGAACTGACATCATAAAGCCCTGGCAAAATATTTACAATAGAACATACATTTAATTTGATATATGTTTATAATAGAGATGTTAGAATACTCTGGGGCAGAGCAGACAGACACTCTGATAATGTGGTGTAATTTTTTCAGATACTAAATTCTCAAAGATCTATATCTTAAGTTTTGAACTGTGGCTTTAATAATCAAAACAGTGTAAACTCATGGTCTGGTGCCTTTTTGAGATGGAATAAAACAGTTGCTTGGAGAGGTATATATGCTTACCTAATTTTCTTATTTTTGAACCCCTAAAAGCTAACATTATTGAATATTTCACTGCAAAATGACACTTAGCTATTTATTAATATACTGTATTTATCCAAATCCAAGATAATTTTGAATTTCAGATGACCCCTCCCAATAATTCGATTCTATATATGCAAAATTATAGATTTGTTATAATTTCTAATGTATAGAATCTAATTAATAGACAGTCAACTTAAATTCATGCCCCCACTACTGTGGTGGGAAAAGCAGTATTGGGGGTGGTGAGGGGCCAGACCCCCACCTCTTGTTCTCTTGCCTTTTGCCCTCTCTTCCTTCCCCATCACCCCTTGTCCCCTGTGTCTGGCTCCCCACCCATGCCTTCTCCCCTGCAACTTGTCCCTCCTTGTTGCCTGTCCCCTGCTATATACCTCCTTGCTGCCTGCCCCTCCATGCCTGTGCCTACACCCTGCTGCTTGGCCACTGCCCCCGCCCCTTTACTTTCTGCTGCAGCTCTGCTTTGGCTCTGGGGCAGTCAGCCCCAGCCTGGCCCCATCAGGAAGAAGCAATGGCAGGGCCAGGTTGTGACTGCAGAGACTGGAGCTGGAGTAAAAGGTAAGGCCTCTGCAGCTGTTGGGGAGGCAGGCACAGGCATGTGGGGCAACTGTGGGGAGGGGCAGACACAGGCGTGGGGGGCGCAGGCTGTAGGTTGCTCCCCGTGAATCTCACAGTCGGTCCCCTCTACTGCCACATGAGCCATTCTGGCCTGGGGCAGGGGGTGGCTCAGCTCCCACTTCATCCCAGGGCCAAAGCCGGATCTGAACTGCTGCCTGCCTTAGGCCCATCCTCAAATCCAAGACAAGACTTTTTCGTCATGTTGATGGGGGAAATTATCTTGGATTTGAGTAAATACGATATACGGCTTGTCAGTGGAAATACAATATAGTATGCAGTATATTGTAACCTACATTGTTTACTTGTATTTTCATAGGCTAACAAACTGCCTGAAAAATTATTCAATAGGGCAATATCTGTATACATATAATGCAAAAATACATGATATTATGAGCTGAAAACATGCAAACAATTAAGTACATATTAAAAAGGATTATATTCAGCGTGTTAGCATCATTCGTTCAAGGATTTCACTGCAATTCACAAACATAGAGCCAGAATTACTGTCCCACTTTTACCATTAGGGAATGTAGGAATTAAAGTATGTTTTGGCAAAGGCTTGAGGGATATTTACATTGCAGACTGCTCAGATCATGGAAGCAGTCTAGTGATGGCAGCAGAAACTTTGCATGTGATAATTTGCCTTGCACTTCAACAAAGTAAATGGACCTGTGCAGAGCTCTGTGTTGCTGCAGCTAGATTGCTACTGATACCAGTGCTAACTTGGTGCTCTCTCTCTAGCAGCATAGACATCACTGCAGTACATTGCCTCTGCTGCTTACCACTACTTTTAATATTAGAATTTACATCTATGGAGGGGTGTACAACACAACCTTGTTTTTTTGCATCTAGAGCAGATAACTGTCCACTTACGTCTTATGCCTGCACAGATGTCTACTTGCATATCCAAAAACAAACATAGTAGATATAGACCTGCTTACACCCTCAGCTGACAACACCTCTTCATTAGAGTTTGACATTTATAGAATTATCAGCTAAAAGATTGTTGATTCCCTCTGTGCAGTTTGTGGGATTTTGTGGGTTTTCTAGAATACTTTCTTCAGTGAAGCAGTAGTTTACTTTAGATCTTTAAATGTATCTGAGTTTAATCATTGCTAATGCTCATATTGGGTGTTTATAGCCATACTCCAGAAAGGGCAGGGGGAGGGCGCTTTACTTAGAGCAGCTCTTAGGGCTGCTCTAATTAAAGTGCCCAGAGCATCACACATATCAGCGTCCCCATGCTGAAAAATGACGGCGGGGGTGCTTTAACTAAAGCTCATTGAGTGAGCTTTAGTTAAAGCGCCCCCGCTGCTATTTTTCAGGGTGGGGATGCTGATACACGTGACACTGGAGTCTTCTGGAGAATGGTAGTTACCAGACACGATTAATTGACCAATCTCATTTCCTTCTACGACCAGGTGACCTATCACCTGGACAAGGGAGAAGAGATTGATGTCATATATCTTGACTTCAAAAAAGCCTTCGATCTGGTATCCCATGATCACCTTTTGGCGAAACTGGCCAGTTGTGGCCTTGGTTCCACCTGGACAGGCTCAGCAAATGGGCAAACGAGAACCTGATGGTGTTTAACACTGAAAAATGCAAGGTTCTCCACCTTGGGAGGAAAAACCTGCAGCATCCTTATAGGCTTGGCAGTGCTACGCTGGCTAGCACTATGGAAGAAAGAGACTTGGGGGGGCATCATTGACCACAAGATGAACATGAGCCTTCAATGCGATGCTGCGGCTAGTAAAGTGACCAAAACGCTGGCTTGCATCCATAGATGCTTCTCAAGCAAATCCCAGGAAGTCTTTCTCCCAGTGTACTTGGCCTTGGTGAGGCCTCAGCTGGAGTACTGCATCCAGTTTTGGGGTCCACAATTCAAAAAGGATGTGGAGAAGCTTGAGAGAGTCCAGAGAAGAGCCACGCGCATGATCAGAGGTCAGGGAAGCAGACCTTACGACGACAGGCTGAGAGCTATGGGGCTCTTTAGCCTGGAAAAACACAGGCTCAGGGGTGATCTGATGGCCACCTATAAGTTTATTGGGGTGACCACCAGTATCTGGGGGAACGTTTGTTCATCAGAGCGCCCCATTGGATGACGAGGTCAAACGGTTATAAACTACTGCAAGATGGTTTCAGGCTGGACATAAGGAAGAATTTCTTTACTGTCCGAGCCCCCAAGGTCTGGAATAGCCTGCCATCGGAGGTGGTTCAAGCACCTACATTGAACACATTCAAGAAAAAATTGGATGCTTATCTTGCTGGGATCCTATGACCCCAGCTGACTTCCTGCCTTTGGGTGGGGGGCTGGACTCGATGATCTTCTGAGGTCCCTTCTAGCCCTAATGTCTGTGAAATCTGTGAAACTGTGTGTAGGCACCCATAGTTCTTACAAACACTACATCTTGAAGCACTCTACAAAGGAGGCAAATATCTTTACTCTGAATTTTACAGATGGGGAAACTGAAGTACAGAAGTTAAGTGACTTGTCCAAAGTCATGCAAGAAATCTGTCTCAGTCCAGAATTGAGCTCCAAGATTCTGAAAAAAATTAACTTCCCCCCTATCCTGGAATATACTTTAGCATTTTTCTCATAGGAGTATCATATTTTGGGGGAATTCAGTGGGGTATGTAATAGCTGGTTCCAGGGAAAAACCTTTGGACATGTGTGATATGAAAGATTTAGAATTTAACTCACCAGAAGGTTGGAGGATCATTTTGATTATAGTACCAAAACTAAAATAGTATTTATCCAATGGTAATTACTGTGATCCTTCTCTGTATCTGATACCTTCCTGTGTATCTCATTAAATGTCTGACCAGTGCCAGCTATTCTGAATGAAGCTATCCCAGCAGCCACACAGTCTATTGATGCAGAGCTTCATGCTTCCCAGCAGATGGCTCACCGCTACACAGCTCTTCTGGAATCAGTGCATGAGAATCTACAGGGAAATATACAACTAGGATCAAATATGTTGAAGGAAGCACTATTCAATGTGAGACAACATGAAGCCTTCCTATGCATCATTCTGGTGAGATAATATTGTGTCACATCTTGTGGAGTGTTTAGTTAACTGCATATGCTTCACTTCTTATGTAACACAGACTTTGCCATCCCAAAAACTGGAAATAACAGAATCTAGGAATCTGATTCAAAGTCTGTTGAAGTCAATGAAGTTAAGAGTTCCAGTGACTGCATGATACTAAAGGTCTCTGAAAGCAGCTGTTATAGACAACTAGCAGACACATGACATGCTGGTCTAATGCAGTAATTTTCAACTTTTTGGCTGGACAGGCTGCATTGGGCCTGGCACCACCCCTCTCTGCCCCCCACGTACCAAGTTTGGGTTCCAGGGGCCTGGCACGAGCCCCTCACACAGGGATTGGAATTTGGGGCTTGGTGCTGCTCCTCGTCTAATGTGCAGGGCTTGGGGCTCACCATTGATCAGGACATTTGGCAGCAGGGGAGTGGTGCCAGTGCTCCCCTACTATCAAATTTCTGGATCCATGGGGAGCCCTGTGGGCCAGATGACACAACCGTGTGGGTGGAATTCGGCCTGCAGGCTGGGGGTTGAGCATCTCTGGTCTCATGCAGTGGTGGCCAACCTTTTTGACAGGTGTGCCACAAATTAAGTGCTGTCTTGTCCCCAAGTGCCACTCTGATTTTCCTTCCCCCTCACCTTAACCTTTCTCTGCCCTGCAACCTGCAGCTATATATGGCAAGTGAAGATCCAAAGTCCTTAATGCAGCAGTGGTTGCAGGGCCAGGGAAAGGTTAACTGGGCTCTTGATGGCAACATCTGACACCTGTTCTCAGCATTGTCCTTTTTCTGCTCTTACCTCCCCTCCTCCACTCGATGGGGCTAGAGGTTGCAGTCCGGCTGTCTCCATTCCAAAGATTCCTTTTGCTGAGCGCCTGGGGCTTGCATGGCGCACACAGCATTTGCCTATACCGCTTGTAGCACATATGCCGTATGTTGGCCACCCCTAGTCTAATGGGTTGTACCATTTTGGCAGTTTCAGTATCCCTGTGTTACTCTGTGGGGGGGATGGGGAGGAGGAGGTTGTCTCCTTTTGTATGAAGAAGCATCAAAAGATACAGGTTTTCTCTTCTTATTTATCTATAAGAGACTCAGGTTGTCTTTCTGGCTGGGACTCTGTGGATGAATGGAAACCAGAAGTATAATGATGCCATGTACCTAGAAAGTGAAACCTAGTTACTTGAAATGAGCAGTGATTTATATTTGGACTTCTTAAAATGCTGGTTCTGTTAACACCTATGGAACTAAAATACTTGAGAGAAAAGGTCTATTTGTTAAGGATTTAGCACACTTGTCCTTACAATTTTTACCTTAAAAAAAGGTCTTTCTGCATATTTCTGAGTCATCCAAAACACAACTTGATGTTCCTGTTATTCCTAAAAAAGATCTCTCCTTAAATTAAAAAGAATGCAACTTTGCAAGTCTTCTCTGTGTTATGTTAAAGGTGCAAAAGAAGAAAAAGCCATGTTTATCTTGTGTTGGTTAGATTCTGATAGATCTTAATTAAATGATTTCTGATGCTGTTCTTTCTTATTGTAAAAGATGGTAAGTTGTGGATTTCTAGTTATAAAGCTTTATTTTACAAAACAGGATGTTCGTGTATTATGGTGAAGAAATGTGCATGAGCTTTGCAGCAGGAAGAGTATATTTCATTAAAAGTTAAGCTGCATATCATCCCTTAAAACAGAACGGTCTCAAAAGAGGCTTGAGCACATAAGTACAAATGCATTCTGTTAGAGATTGAATTGTTTTGCTTATCACACTTCTTATCTGAAGTATGTTTTCTTGCTAGTCGGATGTGATCACATGCGCTCAAGAAGTTGAAATGATGCAGAAGCAATTTGCAGCACAAATGGAGCACTTAAAAAGCATTGTTCAAGCAAAGACAGCTGTACCTACATCACAAGTTTTTGTAAGCATTTGAAGGGAAAACCCCTTCTGTTCTTTATCATAAATGATTAGAAAAATAACTTTTATTGATTAAAGCACTAACAAAAAATTGCACTGCAGTATTGTATAAGTTTTCTCTTTGTCTAGTATATCAGCAACCCCAGGTGATCTATAAAGGGATATTCAACCTTGTAATCTGGTAATTTATTAAAAAAGAAGAGTTAAAAAGAAAAAAAAAGTGTTTGTTACAATTGTCATGAGTCCCATGACTCATAATAATACTTTTACAACTGCACTTTCTTATAGCCATTTCTTTTCCCTGTTGCTGTGTAAAAGATTCACTTTAATAGGGAAAAGCAATTACAGCTAATCAGCTATAAATGAAAATGACTGCATGTAAACTATCGCTGCAGGTGGGGACACATTTCCCTGTTATCCTGCTGTCCACTACAGTTCTTTGTTTTTGTTTCCCTGCCATGTAGTTCATTTTTTATTGTTTTGAGTACCAGAAATATGCTTGACACTTTACAAACAAGCTGGAAGAAATATTTCCGTCCCCAGGAGCTACCATTTATTTTCCTTTTCAAATGTCCTGTCTGCTCTGGTTTGTCTGCTTGTATATTTTTCTTCAACACTGACAGCAACAGAACACAGCAAAATATCTGATTCCATCTGTGCTGTTGCAGGCAGAGCACTCCCCATTGTGGAACTACTTCAACAAGCCTAGTTATCTTCGTATTACTGCTGAGAAGTTGCCCTATTACTATTAATGCTCTATTCCTGCTCTGTTACTATTTAGAATTTGTAGCATAGGGCCTAGGTTTTTAACACAGCAGGGAGGCATGTTAAGGGATTTAATAAACTGATTACTTTGCTTGAAATTTAATGAAAGAGGAATTATAGTGCTATTTCCCTTAATTAAAAATTATGGGTCTGGCCTTACTGCCATTTAGCATTAGTTTCTTTCGTTTTTTTGTCCACAGCATTTTGCTATGATAATGATACTGCTGAATCCCAGAGTGTACTCAGCTGCCAATTCTTATAATGGTTTCAGTAACTTATATCTGCTTATGTGTTACATCACTTTAGCATGATTTTTTTAAAGTTCGCTGAATATATTCCTTATAGGAGAATGATCCTTTCCTATTAAGACCTGGACACTTGCAAGTGCCAGTGTTAACATTCAACATTGATTAAGCAGAGCCAGGAATATAATTTTTTCTTTGGGCATTTCCTTGGTGAGTTGAAATATGTTATAATGCGAGAACATTTTCTGACACTGTTACTGTCTGTCACAAATCTGTATTTGTACTACACCACTTAGGAGCTGGCAGAAACAGAGGAGCAAAGTGATTGCAGCATTTGGTTATATTGATATTTCTTTTGACAGTTAGCTGGCAAGGTGACCTGAATCTTGATTGCCTTTACTAAATGGCTTCTAGCACAATAATACCCCTTTACCTTATTTTCCTATCTGCCTTTTCTATATTTGTGAAGCCATGTTGAGAGAGAGGCTCTCATCCAATATACTGTATTTATTCCCATGCACACTTTTTCTCTGAAAACTAGTGATCAAAAATTGGGGGTGATGTCTTAATGAGGAAACATCAAACAATTTGTTTCCTAGCTGGAGGCTCCAGCTGTGGTTGGGAAAGGAATCCCTTTCTCAGCCTCACCCCTCCCATTGCTGCAGGCAGAGGTGTCTGCCTGGCCAACAGGTACTGGGTTAACCCTCTTACAGCCACTACTGGGCTATTCCATATACAATTTGTAGGTGTCTATGAGAGAGTTATCTGTAGATGATGGGGAGTGAAGCTGATGAGGAGACGCTCCCACCACCATCCTCTCCCCTCTGCATGTCTGGAATTCCCAGACCCCTGCCAAGTATGCTTCTGGGTGAGACTGTGCCATGGCAGGTAAGTCTACCTGCCCCCCCACCAATTCTCTCTCTTTTTGGTCTGCCTTCCCAAAACAAAGTGTGTTTCTTATTCAGGGGTGTATGCTACGTGAATAAATACAGTAATTCAGAAACATCCCCCAAAATTCTGCTCCTCCAACACATTATTTTGTTACTTTAAATGTTAAAAGTGTCCTTCAACTTCAGGCCCAATCATAAACTCTGCCTTATACAAAAATTCCATGAACCTTCCAACAGTTTCTGAGGCAGAAGGGCTGCAAAATTGGGCCCTGTGTGTTACACGTTTCTGTGTCTGCAACTGTTCTGCATAGAATTCATTTTAAACTACAGCTGTAAAGCAATTGTAAATTTCAGCTCTTTCTTTTTTTATTTTCTAGCCTGTCTTTATAGCACTTGCTAACCTATGGACCAGTTTTCAGGATGAAATAATACTACTCAGTTTCCTCACTAATATAGCTGTCAATCTGCATCAGTTTTTGGGAACTCACTTGCAGCTCTTTCCTGATGAAATGATGGAGTCTCATCTTGAAGGAGTGACTGTGAAAAGTGATCAGCAAAGGATAGAGGAAACAATGGGTATTAAAAGCTGTTAAACTTCCCTTTTCTACTTTGAGTCTTTGCTTGATTTGTTGTGCTTAAAATCTTGTTTCTAAAAAGCATCACATTGATACATAAGGTTAGCACATGTTGCGCAAAGCCTGACTCTGCAAATTTTTATTGACAGAGGACCAGATCCTATTCCACCTATTAGACATCTAAATGGACTTAGGCACCTAGGCACTTGTACACGTGACAAAAATGTAATTTGTGTGGCTTAATGGCATCGTGCATTACATGTTTGCCAGTTTTGGGAGTTTTAAATGACTTTGCATTGTTGCAAACTAAACTATATCTGGATGTAGTTTAGTTTGCACTGTTGCAAACTGCAACAGTGCATCTGTCAGCTCACCCCTCTGACTGCAGGAGAGGTGGGCAGGCTTCACAGAAAAAAAGTCTGGCCCCTTGCTGCCTGCAGCAGGCATCTGCCAGAGACATAAGCAGCAAGGGGCCCTATCCTTTTTTTTTTTTTTTGCAAAACCTGCCTGCCTCTCCCACAACAGGTCCTGCTAGCCTGCTGGTGGGCCAAGTGGACCCTGAGCTGTGAGGGGCCCTGGTCCTTCCCTCTGTGGCAGCAGCGCCCCCTGGGGCCATGCAAGCAAGCTGCTAGTGGGCTGGGGCTGCCCCAGCTTGGAGGCAGCACCTGGCAGATCCAACTCTTCCTTGAGCCTGTGGGGAATTCCAGTGCTCTGTGCACTGTCCCTGCCACCTTCCCACTGCCTGAGACCATCTGGGAGTAGGAAGGCTTGCTCGTGGGGCAGTGTGGGGAGGCAGCAGGAGGGCGGCTGGGTGTGATGGCAGCCGGAGAAGGCAAGAATGATGCACGGGGTGCTGGAAGCGTGGGCAGGCTTGGGGAAACTTGGGCTCTGCAGAAAAAAAGGATCGGGCCCCTTGTTGCTTCCAAAGGCAGAAGCGGTGAGGGGCCCAATCGTTTTTTTTATAATGTAAGCCTGCTGAGCCTGAGCTTCTCTGAGCCTGCTTGTGCTTCCAGTGCCCCGTGCACTGTCCCTGCTGTCTTCTTCAGCCACCAGCACACCAGCTGCCCTTCTGCTGCCTCCCCATACTACCCCAGGGGCAAGCTAGTCCAGTCCCAGGCAGTGGGAAGGCAGCGGGATCAGTGCATGGGATGCTGCCCAGGCAGGCTTGGGGAATAGTTGGGTCCACTGGGTGCTGCCTCCAAACTGGGGCAGCTCCTGGCTTGTTAGCAGCCTGCCCAGGTAGCTCTGGGAGGGGCTGCTATCACAGAGGGAAGGACCAGGTCCTCTCACAGCTCAGGGGCCGCTTGTTCTGGTGGCAGCTAGCCCCCCAGCCGAGGGAGAGGCAGGCAGGCTCCACCAAAAAAAAAAGGATCGGGTCCCTTGCCACTTTTTCCTTTAGCCAGGTGCCTGCTGAAGTCAGCGAAGGGCCCAATCCTTTTGTTTTTTGCCCCAGCAGAGCCTGCCTGTGACCAGGGGCCGAGCTGCAGGTGGGCTGATCACTGAGGCAGCAGTTGGCCTGATGCAAATGTTTCCTGAGCCCACCCAGGGAGCAGCGTCCAGCAGGCTTCCAGCAGGCAGGCTTGGGAAACAGTTGGATCGGGCTGGATGCTGCCTCCGAGCTGGGTCAGCACCCAGCCCACTAGCAGCTTGCCTGGGTGGCCCCATGGGGCGCTTCTGCGGTGGAGGGAAGGACCGGGGTCCCCCACAGCTCAGGGACTGCTTGGCCCGCTGGCAGCTTGCCCCCTGGTTACGGGCAGGCTCCAGGGCTGACAAAAAAAAAGACTGAAAAAAGGATTGGGCCTCTTGCTGTAACATGATGGAAAATTGAAACGGTGGGTTGCAATTAAAAACCCACCATTTCAATTTAGGGGACATAAAATAAACCCTTGGGGTTTAAACCCTATCATGTGTACAAGTGCCCCCAAGTGTGATCACATTCCATCCTGTTTGAATCCCTCTAAAAATGTTAACAATCCTTACTTTCTGTTATGACATACAACAGTTTTAGCCTTAAGATAGTCAAAAAGCAGTGAGCAGGAGGAGGGTCCATCCACCTTTTGTGTTAACTTTTTCCCAGACTTGAGAGGGTGAAATAGGATTGTACTTAGAGACCTGATAAGTAGATGAGGATCTGGTCTATGGTGTTCCTTAATCATGCCAATAATCTCACTGAGGACACTATGCTTCGAAGTCACTTCAGTTCAAGTGGATCACGCTAGGTCAGGGAGTAACCAGAGTGGAAGCCAAGGTCAGGTTAGTTACCAGTCCAAGTCCAGGATACAACAAGGTCATGATCAGGGCAAGCCATTGGTCAAGCCCGAAGGTTCAAGATAGGAATAGACAGGACATGAATAAGAGCAATCCTGGAGCAGGGACAAGCAGGAAGAGGCAGGGGGCAGAAATAAATGGAGGGAGTCTAGGACAGGAGTTCAGAGTTGGAGGTCACAAGCTAAGATTACAGAGCTGAGGTCAGAGTCAGGATCAAGCATCAAAATTGGTTTAGAGGGGTTCCAAGCAGGCCAGGAATACAGCAAGACAATCTGTTGCTTAGACAGCTCACTGCTTTCTGCCCTGGGCTTATAACGCTTAAACGGGGAGGGGAGGGAACTTCTTCTTGTAGCCATAGGGATGACTCAAACTGACTGGTTACTTCCAGCTAAGGAACTTACAGAGCTCAGCTCTCGCTTGCTTGACAAAATGTGTGTTTTACACGGAATTGGTACATACTCTGAAAACTGGGAGGAAAGCTCTGTTTGGACGCTAACGTCTGCTTCCAGGTATAATGCTACTGTTTTATCTCTTGCACTATTCATCCTGTGCTATAATATTTGAGCCTAATCGTACGCACTGCGAAGTCCTTGAAAGCTGTGCCATTGATTTCATTAGGAGTGAGATCAGGCTTTTTCCTGTCTCAATTAAGGCCCTGATATTGGTGATAAGCTTGCTAGAAACATTTTTATGAAACACATTTGAGATGATTTTCAGAGTGCGTCCTATGATAGAATTGCCTCAAAGTTAATTTGCAGGTACTGAGGCCTTTGTCCCATCATCATTTACTTTTGCACAAAACTTAACCCAAAGGAGACCTGATTCCTGTGGGAACACCTGGGTGCCACCATAATATAAACATACAGTGAGTATATGAATCTCTTTCCTATAGCCTAGCTTTAGTGTTATCTATTCTTAAAATCTGTAATCAAAGACATCCAAAAGGCCAAAGAGATTAAAGTGCAAAATATTTCTAAAACTATTTAAGCTTCCATGTGACTTGCTTTGTCTTTTGTGCAGATGCGCCCAGAATGTACAAAGATGCTATGTTGCAATAGTGATGAGCTATGGCAACATAATACTAGTGGGCACTAACTGTGATGCCACTGCTACTGTGCAATAGTTCATCACTACAGCGATGTAGGATTGGAAATGACCCGTGCACCACTGGGACTGCGCAGTACTGGTGGGTACTGCACAGTCAGGGGCACATGTAGATGCAGACGCCCTCTGAAACCTCTACAATGGGAAACAAGAAACAGCTTAATGTGTTTCTAGTGTTAGGTTACCAGAAATATTTCTTGGTTTAGGAAGATGGCCCTACCAGTTAACTAAATTCTACTGCAGTGGATTTGAAATTAATTGTTGGATTTATAACAGGATGAAATCTGCTTGTGGCCATGTGCTTCCTAGGAAAACGTGCATATATTAGAATGTCTGAAGCTACTCTACTGCCAAACAAAATAATCAAATTAGAAATTAAGTGCCTGAGCTGCAGAGGCACTGAATATTTCAACGTCTATGGCAGCCAGCAGAGTAGATGGGGTTTAGCATTCATGGTCACATATTAATGGCTGATTGGGCTCCTTTTAGGATTTCCATCAAACCATTTAGGCATCCATTTTCATTGATATCTTTTCTTTTCCAAATTCTCTTTCAGGAATCAAAGTAGATGTTTCAGATTTCAAGGAACAAGAATGGCTTTTTCCAGAAACCACCGCTAATTTCGATCAACTACAGATCCAGTATCATGGGTTTTGTGCACACACATTTGCTGTGAAAGATGGCCTCCTCCTTCCAGGTGCATTCTGTATCTTACTGTATAGATGTAAATACTAGCAAAAAATAAATTTAAGGATGTGCACTCTGCTTTTTGTTGTGTCAGGGTACAAACTAGAATAATTATATGTGTGTGTGTGTGTGTGTGTGTGTGTGTGTGTGTGTGTGTGTGTGTGTGTGTGTGTATATGTATATATGTGTGTGTGTGTGTGTGTATATATATGTGTGTGTGTGTGTGTGTGTGTGTGTGTGTATATATATATGTATATATGTATATATATATATACACACGTTTCAGGAATACCATTTGATAAGACTGCAATATTACAATTAGTGGTCAAATAACCATGTGTCTGGGCATGGGTATGTTGTTCATTTATGTTGAAATAAGTCTTATCCCAGTTACCTTTTCAATTCTTTAGGAAGAGGAGGAGGGATGTCACTGCAAGAATAAAAACAAAGCAGCTTTAATGGTAGTCGAGTGTCCTTTGGCATAAAAGGGTATTTGAGTCAGAAATTCATAGGGAACATTCAAGACAGATATTGTGCAGATACAGGCAACATCTGGATGGGGAATGTTTTATATTACCTTGATAGATATAGGTGATAAAGTCTGGGAAATGTTTCTGGTTGTTATTAAGTATGATCTAGACTATGTGATACTGAATGTAAGCTGGGAACAAGCAACTATTTTTGGTCTGGATAAATGGATTTTATTTGTACCTAACACTTCCAGGTAGTGTATGTTTTATTTTGGAAAAGGTTTGGTTCTAGAATTGTTACTGTTTCATATGTGCACTTTTGCTTGAGGGAGACACATATTTATGATTGCAAGTGCCCTGTGTATTTAATGCTTCACTGTTTTTAACTCTTGTTTTTGCTTTGCTTCCTAGGAAATCCTACTATTGGTATTTTGAAACATAAGGAGAAATTTTATGCCTTCAATTCCAAGGAATCTGCCTATATTTTTGCCCCAAATCCAGATAAGTTCATTCAGCTGATTATAGAAAAAGCAAAAGAAAATGCAGAATTAATTCAGTTGCTCGAGCTTCACAATCAGTTTGAATCCCTTGCCCCATATACACAGGTAGTCACTGCTTGTACGCTTTTTTTGAAGAGGTGATGTGTTACTGATTTAGCTGTCCTTTTAAAGAGCATAGAGTGAATAATTGTTACAAAGGCTGCAAATAAAACCTTGTACCACTATAAAATGCACAAAACCTGGACAAACAGATGTCCATGCCCTTGTTGCATCACAAAAGCCCAACATTTTGAGCATTACAGTTTTTGCTGCCTTTTCACAGAAAACGTCTGTTTGCTTGCAGTGTGAGAGCACAGGCAGCCCAGGCTTGCCCCTACTTCCCAGTCACAGGTGCTCCCAGGGCCTGATCCTACAGGACAGTACCAGTTTTCAATTAGCAATACTCGTGCCTCAGATTAACCTCATTGGTATAGTATTGCCACTGCAGACAGCTTTTTCCAGTCAGTCTCCCATCCAAATACTAACTAGGCTTGACCTTGCTTAGCTTCTGAGGTCAGACAAGATAAGACGTGTTCAGGGTGGTATAGCCGTAGACAACAGCACCAGCTGCTTGACTCTGACCCGGGGTATGCATCTGCAGGTGTAGAGCATGAAACCCATGAACTTCCCTGCTATGTACCTGTAGAAAAATTCCTGGGGTGAACATCTGCAGGTTTTGTTCTCTTGTCACTCTTCTGTTTTAAAGATATTCTGTTATTGTAAGGCACCCTGAGCCTTGGTGGAAAGGGCAGCATATACATCAAATAAATAAATAAGCTGGCCCCTCTTCATAAAATGTGGCTAGAGGAGGTGGTAATGGATGTGGTCCCCAATAGGCTAGTGGGTAGAATACTCATCCAAGTAGGAAGAGACCTGCATTTAATACTTTTTTCTGCCTGAGTGTAGTTGGACTGTGTTTCCCACCTCCCAGGTGGAAAACCAAGCTACAGAGTAATTTTGGGGTGGGTAGGGTCTCAGTTCCTTCTCTCAAAGCTTTTCACTTTGTATGGAATAACTGAATATTCATTGACCAAAAAGAGAGAGAACTTTGTAGCCTAATGGTTAGGGCATAGTGATTAGGGAACCTGTTTTCTAGCTCATGTTCCAACAAATCTTTCTTCCCAGCATGTGCCCTAACACAAGGCTATTCTGGCTCCTGATGGACATTAATGTAATCAAAGGATGGGATCTGAGGCATTTTATCCTGAATCCCTAAAATTACTTGTGCTTCCATGCCAGACGTTTGAGGTCTAGCACAGCAGGATGCGGGACTTTGAGGATTTGAATCCTGGAAGAGAACACACCAAATGCAGAAACTTCCTCAGCCTGATGAAGGGTTTTTAAACCTGAAAGCTTGTTTAAATTTTTTTTCCAACTATTTAAGTTTGTCTAATAAAAGATATCAGATTCACCCAAGGAACCTTGTCAGATTTCATCATGTGTTTATTGGCACCCAGGGAACCCAGGACCAGGGAGTGGCTCCCTGGTAATGGGCTCCCCGTATGCCCTTTAAACTTGCTGGTGCTTAGGGAGCCCAGGACTGGAGACTGATGCCTGATCCTAGGCACCCCATGCTCCCAGACCTTTAAAGGATGTACATGCAGCGCAGGACCAAGGAGCCACTCTGATCCCAGACTGCATGTGCACCTTTGAAATTTGCTGGCGTATGGAGAGCCCTACATCAGTGACCAGCTCCTTAGTGCTAGATTTTCTGCATACCCATTTAAAATTCCTGGTGTGTGGGGAGCCAGGTCCTAGCATTTTCAATGCATGGTTTGCAATGTACTGGCAAGTTTAATGGATATGAAGGCAGCCCAGCACTGGGGAGCAGCTCCTCAGTCCATGCTTCCTGCATGCTTTTTCAACTAACTAATGTGCCACAAGTTCAAATTAAAACACAATCAAATGCACTACAAATATGTTCCATAGTATCTTTGAAGCTGGTTCACCATTTTTGTGGCTAGTTTGTCACTTTTACCATAAAAATTGCTTGAATGTGTGGTATGTTGCCACTTACTGTGTGATTAACATCTGCCAGGGCCCACAGTCACACTAATTTGTTCTCTTGTGTGCATTCTCTCTCTTTTCTTGATTTATCTTCCCTGCAAACTAGATCAGCTTTATTAAGAGAGATTGAGAGAGACCCATCAAAGCACCCTATAGCCTGGTGGTTAGGGATATACCTGTGAGGTGTGAGATGTAAGTCCAAATGCCCTGAGACAGAGGCAGGAATTGAATCCAGGTGTCCAAAATGCTGAATGGATGCCACAGTCACAGGGTTATTCAAAATAAAGATGGCATCACCTCCTTTTTACTTGTAAAAGTCTGGATCTGTAAAGTGTGCTCTGAGTACCCCTGCTGGGTTGAGCCCCTCAGATGAGATGGGTGGGGGAATCTGTAGCTCATGGATACTGAAGGAACAGAGTTGTGAAGTATATATCTAACAGCTCAGTATTGTACATGACTGGATATGTCCAGAACCAGATATTTAGGTACTGAGGAAATTTTATTGGTGGAAATGTAAGTGAGATGTAGTAAGTTACATTAATCTGAAGTTAAGTAAAAAGTAGGGTGGATTTTCACCTCATCCACTAACCAAAGCAGATACACATACCACAAGCTTTCATGAGCTGAAGTTCAGAAGTAAGCTTCAGCTCATGAAAACTTATGCTCTGTCTGTCTGTCTGTCTACTTTAATTAGTCTATAAGGTCCAAATCAACCCTGTGTTTTACTGGAAATGTAGGTGGTCTGTGAGACAGGTATTTTAAGCATTATCCTAGAGGGAGCTACATTTCAGTGATGGATGAAGCAATCTCTGTGTAAAGTTTGATTTCTGGTTTAAGTCAGTAAAGCACCTCTGGAATGACAGATATGATATGAATGTATGATCCTTATCACTGACCTAGTAATATAATTGTTTTGTAGTTGGTTCTTTCAAAATGCTGTTTCAGTATTCCCACGTTACTGTTTGCCTGAATAAAATTGATGTAGCTACATGTCATTTTTTTACTGTAAAGTACTCCTAATTAAATTTTTTTTTTCATCCAGGTCAGAAGTGGAGACAAACATTTGTTGAAGCCAATAACGAAATGTGACAGCAGTACTCAAACTGACACTCATATCTTGCCTCCAACTATTGTGAAGTCCTATGAATGGAATGAATGGGAACTGAGGAGAAAAGCCATAAAGCTGGTTTGTATCAGTGTCATCTGGAAGATTAAGCCTTCCAAAATTGAGCATATGTTATGCTAAAGGTTGGACTAAATTATTCCCTCTGGCCTTAATGTATAACGCACAGAAAAACAGACAAATTCCTGTCACCGTTCTCTGTTAGATCTTTTTTGAAATAGGAATATAAATGTGAAAAAAGTTTTCCACCTTATCTTTTTTGCTTTGAGCAGTATTATCAGGTCCAGGCCCCTGATTCTAAAATCACAAACGCATTCTTTTTACGTTCTAAGATCTTTTTTATTAATAGTGAATTTTAAGAATGCTACTTTGCACTCAGTTTAACCTTTTCAAGATAATGTGCCATGCGCTCCCTTTGCAGTAAAATGATACAGAAAGGCTGATGTTAATTTTATGGTAGACTGCGTTCTGTATTAATATATTGTACCATTAGGTCACACAAGAAAGAATAGCAATAACTGGCAGTAAGTGTAGCTAGAGAACACCACTGAAGGAGGTAGTTAAAAAACTAGTAACTGGTTTGAGGAAAATATGCTGGATGACACACAGGTGATAGAATCTGTAATAAGGCCAATTGCATATGTAAAATTCATAATGAGTCTTGTCTAGCCTTTGGCAACCTGATTTCAGGTATCCAAGGAAATGCATATATTTTGCAACATCCAATTTTGCCAAGAGCAAAATAACTTACAGCTAAATTTGCTCAGAGTAACATTAACTAACAGTTAAGGCCAGTTCTACATGGGACCAGTTAGAAGATACAAGCTAGCAAACAAATAAACAGAACAGGATATGTTTTGTATTGGATATGGAATTTAGAGGCAGGTTTTTATTGTATCATCACACAATATTTAGGACTACAAGACAGAAATTGCAGGTATCTCGTGTTTTAGCCATCAATAAAAAACAGTAAGTACCTTTTAGAACAAAATGTATGTTTTGTTTTAGGGCTTGTTTACATGTGGAGGTATTTGAGAATAGCTGCTGTGCTTTTAAGTTGTGCATTACCTTAATCAGAATCCACTATCAAGTGTAGACAACCATTCAGAGTGACAGCTGAATATTTTAATTTCTATAGGTAGATTCATGCAATATTCGGGTATCAGAGCTGCACGGTGGATCCCATCTGCTATTCTTCTTGTCTGACTTGCCTTGAACTCTCAATAAGTTTACACAGGGAGAGCAGAATTTTAGAGAAAAGATACAATTTTTAGATCTAAAAATGGAATTTTGTGTGTTTTGTTATCCATCAGCTTATACAGTTCTTTATTTACCTCTTTCCTAATATGACAGCTATAGAGACGTTTTCCCAAAGGTCTTGGCATGGCATTTAATAATATAAAAATAGATTATCTCAAATCTATTTGAGTAATAGACATGCACTCTCTCCCTTGTTGTTCATACTTCCGTTTTTTTCATAATGTCCAAAAGTAATCTTCCATCATATACTTTTTATCCTTTTACATAATTACTGACATTAAAGGTTCACTGGAAGGTGGAACAGACCAGGTGATTTTCAAGCATTAGCTCAACAGTGTAAAGAATTCATTGAAGCCTTTTTGTAGCCTTTATTACAGGAGGTAGAGAAACAAACTGTTGTTAAAATTACATGTTCCACAGTTAATGATTTGTGAACCCAAATAGCCACAGATGTAGAAGCCAGAAAGCATCATTATGGTTTAGAACTTTTAAACATACATTGTTTCTGATATGTCTTAACAGATTCTTTTTATTCAGATTTTTTTTTTCATTTAGGCTAATTTACGTCGGACATTAACTCATTCAGTACAGACTAATCTGAGTCACATGAGAAGAGAGAATTTCAGCCAGGTGTACCTTTTGAAGGATTTTAGCATGCAGACTAAATGTGACAGCTCTAGCAATGTGCCCAAGCCACAGATTTTCCTAGCAGGTCTCAGAGGTGGATCATCTCCAACTACTCATATGATCAAAATGGATTTAACAAGAGCAGTTGATGAAACCTAAACATAGTTCACAAAGAAAAGCCTGATGAAGTATAGTAAACGTTTGTTTAAAAATTCAAATATAGTTCTGAAGTAAGTTCAAACATGTCTGTTGGTTCCTAGAGCAGTTGTTACTCTGCTTTTCCTGTTTCCACATAGAAGTGTATGTTATGAAGTGATAGATAATAAGAAGCCTGAAACATCCAGTTCTAAAAACATAATTAAGAATCTGGACATAGCTGAAAAATCTGACTTAAACTTACTTTCCTATAGGAAGCACGTGTTTTTGTACATCTGTGATATTGTAATATCCTGAGTGCTCACCAAAGCACAGCTTTTCCTTTGAACTTGCCACAGAGATTGTATTAAAAAAATTGGTATGAGATATAGAGACCAGTTATTCTGTTCTTATGCAGAAAAAAGTTCTTGCTGATATGGTATGAAGCTAATCATAGGAAAGTCATCCAAACATTTCACTTCTCATCTCCCCCTTTTGGAGCGCAGTTAATGAGATGATAATTATCAATTAGCTTCAGTGGCAAGAGATCAACCAAGGACCTCAGCCCTTCCCATTTGTGCTTCCTCAGCCCTTCCCATTTGTGCTTCCTATAAGTTTAATAATTCTATAAGAGTCCAATAAATTTAATTCCCATAAATTTAGTAATCTGTGGAACCATTCTAGGCTATACCAAGAACAGAATAGAAAGGATGGCCTGTACTGTGAGAGCTATGACACCAGTTTTCTGGTGCTCTCTAAAACTTCTCTGTACACGCTGCCTAAATGCTGCAAAGGTGAGTACGGTAGAAATGGACATACAGACTTCAGGGAAGATTCTACTTTCCTGATACATTTTTTAACAACCAACCAAAATATCATTCTTTTTTTTTGTTACAGTAAAGACAGGCCAGTATAACATATCCCTGCTCTAATAAATCAAATGCTGCTGATAATTTTTCGCTAAATGGCAAAATAATTTTTAATGTATTTGAAAGTCAGGCTGCAACAGTTTCTTGAAAAAATGTGAGGTGATGAAACAGAAAAATACTTCTCATAAATGATGGGTCTGATAGTTTACTTTCTTAGTTTACAAACATCATGGGGTATGGGATTAAACAATACTATGTAAGTTTTTTGTGCTGTATTTCTACTCAGGTGAAGCATTTGACTCTCCCTGCAATCCTAGGCCATGAAGACAATAATCATTTTAGTAATGGTGTTGGAAGGGTTAGATTACTGAACCTAGGGAGTTCCCTCATATCCTTAATATATGGCAGGGGCGGGCAATTATTTAGGGTGAAGGGCCGCGTATTGAGTTTTGGCAAACTGTTGTCGAAGTTTCCTTTCCGGTGCAGGAAAGCAGGAACAGCCCCATGGTCCCAGGGCAGAAGCCTCTGTTAGGCAGGGGTTTGATCTCGTATCTTGCTTTTTCCAATTTACTGTATTTGAACTGAAAGATCATTTTAAAGTGGCAAAGATGCATTGGTTTAAAAGGGCATTTATGAATAACATTTTTTACTCTATTTTCTATAACTTAGTTTTCTTGCCCGTGTGGGATGCTACAACATAACCATAAAATATTGGGTAATACACTTGTAATCATTTCAGAATGAACCAGATGCTATGTGTGAATGAGCAAGAATTTGGAGCCAAATACTGCTTTTGGCTATGAGGAATATATTGCTATAGAATTTCCTGGGAAATTAAGTAAGATTACTGCATTTAGGAATGCCTTTATTCATTTTTTAAAAATTGCTTTTAAGAATTGCATAGGAATGGGGAGAGATGGAGTTAGAGCTTTGATCCCCTTCTGAACCTGCCTTTGTCTTCTATTTTTTTTTCCTTCAGTTTTCCGCTTCTTTTCAGTAGCTTTCTTCTGGGCAAAATCAAATATTCGTAACAGAAAGGCAGCATAAGTGTTGGTCTTTCCTTTATTTTAGAGCCAGTAATTAGGTGGTGAAGTAAGTGCCTGGGATTGTTAGGATTTAATAATGTTCATGGAACATATGCCATAAATGCTGCTTACCACAGTAATGCTGAAAATGTTTATTTTGTTTTTGCTAAAATTTTTACTTTCTCCATTAAGTTTTGTTGTTTGATGAGGAGAAAACTAATATGGGCAGGGAGTTCCCTGTAAATTGTAGCTTGATTAGATCTCACTTAAATTCAGTGAGCATTATTGAATAGCTTGCACAAACAAAAATTCTCCAACATTTGTTTGGGTAGAATCTTCTATATCCCTGCAACAGCCTGAACAAATTATTCCATTTTCCCCAGCCTTAAGCTTCCTAACAGCCCCAAAAGACTGTATCACAGACAGCCCCCATCCATGTGACCCAGAATCCTTTAGTCACAAGGCCACTGGTTTGTAACAATGTGAATTTCTCTTGTCCACCATAGGGAGTGGTGCCTGCTAGCTTTGGAATGCAGCCTGGGAAGTGAGACTAGAATGGGGACATTAAACTAGATTGTCATCTAAGATGGTCTGTGTTGCTCTAAAACCAGTTTAAGTTGTCTTTACTGTGCCTGTTTAACACAGTGGAGCTGATGCATAACTTTTATTGGGTGCCTTTGGTTCAAGGATACCTACCTAAAAATAAAGGCAAACTTTTGTGCCAGCTTTCCATGCCATGAAATTCCACTGACTGGGCAGTACAGAGCTTGGCCTGCAGCTCTTACTTCAATCTGTAGGTCTCTCCAAGTTATTTACCATGTTTTTTTCATGATGGAGGAACAAAGTGGCTGGATAGCTTCCATTAGGGCAGTATGCAGGTGAGGGCATACACAATCCATACTGCCTGCATCCTCACTTCCTTCTTCATGTCCTCATGTGACAAGATATTTAGCAGAATTCACGGATTTGTTGGAATCTAACAGGGCTGCATTGTGAGTGCTTCTGCTATGGCTTCAAACTTGTGACCTCTGAGCTGTCAACCACACCACCCTAGCCCCCACTGCCTGCTAAAAATTGTTGGCATTCATGTGATGATTTTTCCCTCTCTGTAAAACTCCTATAATTTCGCACCTAGTTTTTGTTCTTTGATGTAAATCTTCATAGTAATAGCTGTCCTTGCAGTCTTTTTTTTATCACTGGATTTTGTTTATCTCATTTTGAAGTTAGGAGTAAATGAGTGCTGGCAGGGTGCAGGTCCATTAAAGTGAGAGTTTCAAACTTCCTTGCCCCCCCCACTAAGCTAAATTCATACTGCAGTCTCATGGACCGAATCTAGATCCACCTGTCATAGCAGGGCGCACAGCAGCAGGACAAGGCTAATGCAGGGGTATTTGCTCTCGCCTCCACTAACGCAGGTCCCCAGCGGGGGTCTGTACCCCAGATTTCAGTGGTGGGCCCCAGTGCTGCTCATCCTGGCCCCTCCAGGAGCTCTGTGGGCCAGTTGAAGCCAGCTCTGTGGGCCAGATTTGTTCCAAAGGGTAGATCTTTGACAGTTGACACCCCTGTATTAAATAATTTAATCTGGTTACATCCAGGGCTGAATTGAAACTGTTTGCAGCTAGGATGCCCCAATCTGCTGTTTCTCTGAGAAGTATTAGTTTTTCTTTCTTGTGACATGATGTGCATGTGCTTTAGGTCCCTTTTATATTTGATATCTATTTTTGCTTTGCTAGCTATATTCTTAAATTGGCCAAAACACGTAGGATAAGGAATGTGAAGTTACTAAATTTTTGTGCAATGACCTGGCTTCTGATTTTTAGAGTTGCTGAGCACATACCTGACTTGTGCTGGTGCTCAGGACCTCCAGAAATCAGAATCATAGAAAATTAGGGTTAGAAAGGACCTCAGGAGATCATCTAATCCAACCCCCTGCTCAAAGCAGGACCATCCCCAACTATATCATTCCAGCCAGGGCTTTGTCAAGCCAGCCCTTAAAACCCTCCAAGAATGGAGATTCCACCACCTCTAGGTAACCTGTTCCAGGGCTTCACCACCCTCCTAGCGAGTAAATTTTTCCTCTGGCTAACCCCAGACATGCTGAGGAGGCTGGGTAGGCCCAGCCGCAGCCCCCGGGCAGGCACAGAGGGAGCTTGCCCTTGCCTGGTGAGGGGGGCCTCAAATTTTCTGCTTGCCCAAAGCCCCAATAAATCTTAATTTGCCACTCATTTTTCATGCTGCCAATTTGCATTTGAAATCTCTACTTTTATCTTGTGGATCTCACGCAGGCGCTTGCATACCTACTGGCACTACTACTGTGTAGCACCCTGCAGTGGCGAAGTGTAGGGGTGCATGGTGGTGCACGTGGACCCCTTGAGAGCACCGGTGCACCCCCTGACTGCGCTCGCCGCTTAAGGGATGGGCAGGGGGAGTAGGTAGGAGTGCCGGTGCCCTCCCTGCAAGCGCCGGCAGATTGTTGCAGCCGCTCCCAAAAGCAGCCTCAGCCACTTCCGGAAGCAGCTGCAGCTATCGGCCATTGTGGGATCGGCTGTGGGGGTCTCCCCAGGCAGTGAGATTGGCTGCGGGGGGACTCGCCCCCTGTCGGTAGGACTGGTTGCAGCTGGGGCACATGCCCCCCGACTAAGGTGGCACCAGTTGCCCATGGCACCCTGGAAGCATCTCAGTACCCCCAGCTGTGGCTGCACCCTGCTGAGAATGGCTGGTTGTTTGGCCTCTGAGGGGGGTCGCTCTATCCTGCCTGACTTCATCCTCACACAGCATCTGCAGCCACAAGGTGAGCCCAGGCTCTGTGCCTGCAGAGGCTGCATCTTGGAGATGAATGACGAGGAATTCATTTAAATGAAAATAGAACCGGGGGACTGAGTCATGAAATCATCCCCTAGAGCCTACATGGAAAATAGAGGCCCAAAAAGAGGTGGTTGGGTTTAACTCGGGCTCATTGTCCTGTACTTGGACGCCTATCAGAACAGCTGCCTACGTGCACAGCTCCAATTCCTTGGGACTGGCCCAGGGAAAGGGTTAGCCTTGCCAGGTCTTAAATATGAAATTATCGTATTGGAAGCTCAAAATTATGTTATTTGCTGAGAAAGAATGGTACACCGAAAAATATGCAAATAACTATGCAAGTAAGTCTTATTTACTTTATATTGCTCGCTGTAAGCCATGGAGTGAGTGAGAACTGGGTCATCAAAGTTAAAGCATTTCTTTATTTCGAGGCAAGCAGTGTCGACACCAAACCCAAAAGTCAGTTAAGACTCCCTGAGAGTGCTGCATCAACTACCTGCCTCGAGTCGAAAGGCATGGTACATTTGGATAGTTTTACTGTTATTGATCGCACATCGTACAAGGGTTGACGTGCTCGTATAATTACGGTAACACCCGTACACCCGACCCGGCGCGAAGCTGCTCGCAAGGGCAAGGTTCCAGGCAGCGCGCATGCGCAGGAGCCCTTCTCTCCCCCCCCCCCCCCCCGGCCACGTGATGCTGTTCCGGAGGCGCCTTGGACTCTATGGTGACGGAGCCAGGCGGGCCGTTCTAGGCGGCCCCCCCGCCCTCTATGGTGAATGGGAGGAGCGGCGGGGCACGGCTCCAGTCCCGCGGTCTTGGCAGCTTCCCCGGGCACCATGGCGCCGCCGAAAGGTGAGGGGCAGGCGCCGCACGGGGGTAGGGGCCGCGGCTGCCCCTGAGCTTGGCCGGGGGGGAAGTGAGACCACCCGCCTCCTCCCCCCTCCCCGCCAGCGGAGAGAATGGAACGGCCCGTGGTGCGGGGCGGGCACCAGCCGGGAGCGCTCATCTCCGCGGGGCGGCCCTCACCCTGGGGCCGTGAATGGGCTTGACCTGCGCTGCGCTGGGCCGCCGGCCCGGGGAGAGGCCCGTGTCCACCCCGGCTAGAGTCGTGCACAGCGAGGGCGGGCAGGGACGTTGCGCACTTGGCCCAGCCCCTGCTCCAGCCCCAACTGCAGCGTCCCAGCGGGGCTCTGTCCAGCCGCAAAACCTCCCAGGATGGAGAGTCCCCTGTCTGTCTGGGTCACCGTTCCCGTGCCTCGCCACCCTGCGCGGGAGAGACCTTCCTGGTGCCAACCCGAAACCTCCCTTGCTGCCCGTCGAGACCGTTGCTCCTTGGTCTGGCAGCAGTGAGAACAGCTGCCCCGTCCTCTTTGTAACTCCCGCCCATTCGGGTAGTTGGAGGCTGCTTTTAAGTCCCCTCTCAGTCTCCTCTTCTCCAGACTAAATACGCCCCGTTTCTTCCTCCCAAGTCAAGGGCCCCAGCCCCCGATCCATTGAGAAAGTAACACCTAATTTCTCGGGACAAAAGAAAGGCAAAGCAGAGACAGGAGCGATGGACTGAGTGCACTTGGGGGATGCCGAGCAGCGCACGCTGGGCAGCACCCACTGTACCACATGGGCCTGTCTGACTCATGCAGCTCTTGGACGTTTATACATGTGCTCTGGGAGTGGGGGGCACTTTAATTAGAGAAGCTCTGAGAGCCACTCTGATTAAAGTGCCTGGAGGTCTTGTGTGTCAGCGTCCCTGCACTGAAAAATGGTGGCGGGGGTGCTTTAACTAAAGTCTGTCAAATGAGCAGGGACCCTGATACATGAGACACGAGTATGGTAATTACCATGCTCCTGCAGACTGATCAAGTCTGCTCCGACTACGGCATGCTGAAGCAGCTGAAGCAGCCTCTCTGCACGTGTGTAGGACCCCCACAGCAATGGTGATGTCCCTCCCCTTGTTAATAGAGGGAGTATTGGGTATGTGTCAGCTGAATCTGTGGGACAAACAGAAGACCGGACAGGGACAGGAGTGATGGTCAAAGGTTCAAAATGAGTGTGCTGAGGGGGGACGCCGAGCAGAGCACAGAGGGCAGTGCCCACTGTGTGACACAGGAGACTGGCAAGACAGACCTAGTGATTGGTAGTTCTGTGGTCTGACCTAGTAGTTCTTGCATTCTTAACAGTGGAGGCTAATTCAAGTTAGTTGTCATTCAAGCTATGTAAAAGGCTATCTCCCCTGCCTGTTTTGATGCGAGTCAAAACTCGGACAGTCAGCCGGTTTTAACAGATTAAACCAGTCTCATGTTCTTAGTCTTAGAAACTGGACAAATATCCCGTGTTGCTCAGACCATGACCTGTAGCAAAGTACTTTTAAATAGTAAGCAGGATGCTAAGTCCCAGGGCTCCTTTGTAGAAAACAAACCCTTAGAATAGTATAAACAATGAATTTTAAACTTCAGATTTTAAGTTGCTTCTTTTTGTTCTCAATTTAATTCAGTTTAGCTGATTAGGCTGGTCAGTTTTACTTTTTGGCTCTAGTGCTTTTTGCATGTGTGCAAAAAGCAAAAATTGTAATAAACTCCATTTGTGGCTTGTGAATCTGGTTTGGGCAAAGTCTAAATGCTCTTCCAAGAACTACTTGACTCTCCCCTTTGAAAATGGTTATTGATGTAGATGGGATATAATCTAGAAGGCTATAGCTAATTCACATGCTTGTAGCAGCAGATGCTCAAGCATACTTTGCAGAGATGGTCTGCAGAGATGGGTATCACAGCAGTCCATTTGTAGGGAATGTATTATTAGCTTACCCTGTGGCTATAGACAAGACTGTAGTCAGCCTGGGATCTGTGCTGCACTCAGCATTTGCAGGCACTGTGTGCAGCCTGGGTCCCAGACCAGCTGAGCAGGTGCTGCACGCAGTGCAGTCCCAGGTCTGCTGGGGTGGCCAGTGTGTGCAGCATTGCTACTGCTCTGCCTGGACTGTGGTGCATACAGCACCTGTTTTAGCTGCTCTGAGATCTGCACTTCACACAGTGCGGGTCCCAAACTGGCTGCAGCACCTGCCACTGGATCAGGTATGCTGAGGGAAGGGGATGGGCTCTGTGGACCTGATCTGGCCTGTGGACTGGCCTCCACCACAACCACGCTCTGTACCCTGTGTGGATCTGATCAGGGGCCAGATAGTGGGGCCCTGTGGGCCATGTTTGACACCCGTAGTGTAAGGAAATGTGTTTAATTCACAACCTGAAACAAAATACTGAGTACAAGAGACTGAGCTGTTCTACTAGTGCAGTGGTTCTCAGCCTTGTTAGAATTGAGGCAGTCCTCAGAAAATGCCAGCTCTTCACTCATTTTTTGACCATGGAAAAATAATAGAGCAACTCTCCTGTTGCAAGGAACACGGAAAGACCATGGCAAATCAGAATGTTTTTGACAGGATGGAGTAATATTTGAAAAACTTACCTTGTGCTGATTCACAAGGCTTACCTTGTGAATCACATATTGGTGTTTCACCCTGTGGCACCCTTAAAAGGATTTCATAGCACCACGGGGTGCCACTGCACGCTGGTTAAGAATCACTGCATTGGTGGGACGCATACCTGATGAAACTTAATTCGTCAGTGAAATTGATCTTAAAAGTTTTGGAAGGCTGAAACTTGGAGTATGTTATAAGGTGACCCTCACCAACAAAATTACACTGCATGCATAAAATAAAAGGAATTTATGTATCTAAAAAAAGATGTATACATTTTTTCATAGAACACTCTTTTTTCCTAATAGGAGTTCAGACAACTTTAGAAGTTCTAACTTGCGTTGTTATACTGTGGCGCACTGCCCCCCCCAGTAAATAAATATCCTAGTTAAAGGAGGCCCAAGGGCATTTACCTTCAGAATCTGTTCTTTTGAAATGGAAGGAATTCCCTTCCCACGTTAAAATAGAATTTACATGTTAAAAACTATCACACCTCTTACTACTTTCCTGAAATGATTATTCTCTCCCCTGCCCCCACAACCTCTTGCCTCCCAGTTTCTACTGCATATCAAACCTATCATTTCTGCCCCCAAAGCCTTTTGTTAATCTGAGAGTTCAGTAAATTTTGTCCGTTTGAGATTTTAACATACTGCATGCAGAGGATTAGTTATGCTTTTTGGGCTCAGTACTTGCTGTGTGCTTTAGGGGCAAAAAGGCACAATAGAGTGTACTGTATGTATCCAGTGTATGACATGGAACTCATCATGCACTGGAGATATATATATATATATATATATATATATATATATATATATGTCTTGGAGCGTATTTTTTATAAAGAAACTATATATATATATATATATATATATATATATGACTTGGAACGTATTTTTGGTAAAGAAACCCACCTCAAGTCAGATGCATCTGGTACTTTCCTATAGTCTTTTCTGTATTCTCAAAGTATTTTGCGGGTTCCATTTAGAATTATTAAATACAACAATGTGACTATTGTAAAATTACTGTACACTGCTACAGTGGGACTACATCGTATATGTGAGTTATTTAGTTTTTCAAACTCTCGGTTTCAGTTCTTAGTTTAGAATGGAGCACACCAAGTTGCGATTGCTGTAGCAAGCAGCTGTTGTCTGTCTCCCATACGTTACTGAGCTATTTTTTGGTCTTTCAGAGAATGTCACTATACTGTTCAAGTTGTACTGCCTGACGGTGATGACTCTAGTTGCTGCAACATACACTGTAGCCTTACGATACACAAGAACAGTGGAAAAAGAACTCTACTTTTCAACCACAGCTGTGTGCATCACAGAAGTTATCAAGTTATTCCTAAGTGTGGGCATTTTGGCTAAGTAAGTATGAGTACTAATCAGTGTCCTGGAGATGAATTATCACTTCCTCTGACTCAGTCTCCTTCACACTCATGCATCTATGTAAGTGCATGTGGAATACAGCCAGTTTTCTTTCTGGGCCTTATTTATTAAGCCGAACAGCGGTGGCACCGAGGAATGGTGCTATGAAAAGATTCAAGCATGTCACTACTTGTGAATGGTTCCTTCCTGAATCTCTTCAGTAAACTGCACAATATGCAGGTGTGTCCCTTTGCATATTTTACTAGTGTGCTTTGGACTAGGTTCAAGTGACAGTTTATATTGGCTATAAAATACCAGGCTTTCTGAGTTATTAGGCTAAATGAGGGCATACTTTTTCCTTAACTTTATGTGCATGTAAAACTCTTATATGTCCAGTAATCAGTTTCTCAAAACAATCCACAAACACCTTTACATTTCCCCTGACGTGTTCTAGAAACAGCAAGATGCTAGGTAGTAATAAGCTGAGTCCATGTATGAATGCCTGAATATGGGGAAACAGTCTGCCATTACAGTTTCTTCCTTTCCTTTCTTTTGCCATCAAAAAAAAACATTTTTAGCACACAGAAGAAATTTGACTGAAATGCATGCTCGGTACTATCAAAATAATTAGTTACTTGAGCATAAAACTCTGGGTTATTTGTTTATGTTTTAGTTCTTCATGTATGTCAGGGTGGATCCCACACTATAGATGTATATATACTTTGTGCGCGTGACAGAAACTGCTAGTCAGAAGATTCAGTCAGGATGTGAACTGCCCTCAGTAGTGTTTTTTCTTTTCTTTTTCTTACTGCTTGCGGCAGTGAGATAAGACGTACTGATACCTGACTGTCAATGCGTTTGATATTGTAGTAGCACTTCATGTCCCTGCCTTTGCTTCTCTCTCCCCCAAAGCTTTGGGGCACGGTGCCCTCCAAAGACTGGGATGGAAACTGTCTGAGGACAAAACTTTCAAGCCTCACATTGCCTTGAATCAACAGAAATCAGTAGACTGCTGTGCTGAAGGTTCCAGTGGGGCAGGTACCTAGAGTGCTTCCACTAATATCAGGCAGACAAGGTTCTTTGCATAGATGTGATATCTTTTATTAGACCAACTAAATAGTTGGAAAATTGTTCTTTTGGGCACAAATAACCTTCAGGCATAAAGAGAGTCCACTAAGATCAATATCAGCATCAGTGGAATGGGTATAAACCACACTGGGTACTACCTTTTGCATTGAGATGTCCTCTGGTACTGGTTCCCTCCATGGTACCAACAGCTTGTGCGGTCTGATTTCCCTACGGTGGTACTGTTGCCAGGACCTGCCTGGACCTTGCACTGACCAGGGAACTATTGTGAGTGGTGGAGACCTGTGGACTTCTACAGATCCCAACCTTTGACTCCCTGGGACTGGGCCCACCAGCTGCCCATGTACATATGGGATTTTACCTTTGCCCTTTTTTGAGCTACTGTTTTTTCTTCTTAGGCTTTGGTGTCCACAATCAAGGATGAAGAAAAATAATCTCTCTCTTCAGTGCCTTGCCTGGTTAAACCCCAGTCATCTGAATGCCAAAACAAGCAGTTGCCAGACACGTAGCCACACCAGTGTGGCTGCTCTACCTTTTATGCCCTCAGAGGGGAGCATGAAGAAGTGGTGGGCGTATATGTGGTTATGATGAATGTTGTAATCAAAAGAATCTGGTCGTGTGTGTGTGTATGTATGTGTAAGGGGGGGTGGATACAGGCTCATGTATGTCTACACCAGGTGTAGGCAACCCCCAGCATGGTGCCAGCGTGGCACACAAAGGCATTTTGCTTGATGCGCATGCCTCGGAATGGATGGTAGGGAAGCGGCTGCACTGCCACAACAAGAATTGGGCCCCTCTTGGCTGCCTTGCTATCCGCCCCTGGTATGCCAACATCTTCCAAGTTGAGGTTGTGAGTGTTTTTGGCAGTCTGTCCAAAAATGTTGCCAACCCCTGATCTACACTGACTATAGAGAGATTAGTTGTACTAGTCTGAAGTTGGAAAGAAGGCAGGATACATATAAGCTGCATCTCTGCCCTGCCTTCTACATAGACTGCAGTTTCTCCAGGGACTGTGTTTATTGTAAGATAAATGACCAAACTGATTTGGGAATTGGTGAGAGTCGATGAGTTTCTACCTTTAATTAAAGAGCACCTGCACTTGCTGTCACTTGTATTTAACTTTGAAACATCAAAGCTGATAGCTATTTTAAGATGTTAACAAATCATAGGCTGGACTCAGAAAGGGTCTGCTCTTTTGGTATAATGTGGAAGAGGCATGGGTAGCACAATACAGAAATTGGAGTTTTAAGATTGTTTGCTTGAATTCTTAACCCGGTTTTACTTGTGGGGCCTTAAACATGCATGGATAAAACTACGTCATGCTTCGAATGAATGTGAAATGACTCTCCCTTTTGAAATGAAGAGCAGTTGTAATTTCAAGCCAGTGGTTAAAACTTTTCGAAGTCCAGGCACCCCTCCCACTTTTTTTTAATGTGGTGGCATCCCGTGTTGAGAACCACTGTTGGTGCTGCCTCAGTAGTACTCAACTGGGCAGGTGAAACTGCCCCATATGTCTACTGCACAGCCAGCCTGGGAAGAGCTACAGCATGCATGCACTTCGGCTACATCAGGGCTCTCTGATAACCCTAAAGCATGACAAGTTTGTTGGTTTGGGCTGTAGCCCTTCTCAGTCCCACCCCATTCCCACTCTTGCTTCTCCTAGAAACTGGAAGTGCACAGGTCCTACCTACATGACTTGTCTGTGGGAGGAGTGTGGGGGGAGGGAGAGGAAGGGAGGGGAAACCAGACTAAGAAGGGCTACAGCCTGAGCCAGCTCTCCTGTCTAATAACCCTAAAGCAGGACAAGAGAGCTGTCCTGCTGCAGTAGGAGCATGTGTGATACAGCCCTGCACACAGGACAGTTTTACCTGACAGCCTGATGCTGCACCTGTCTGGCACCCCTGAGGGAATCTCATCGCCCCCTATTTGAGATCCAACAGTTTAAGCTGTGTATTTATTTAGTTTACTGGAAGAAAATAAGCCTAGAATACTCCTGACCACCTGGACCCTAAACTAGTAATTACTTTGTCCAGAATCCCAAAAGATTTACAGCTTCGTGAGTTGAACCAAGAAAAGCCAAATTGATTTACAGGCTATTGTTTTATTTTGGATTAATGTGAACAAATGATTATTTCTTTCACATATCTTGTCCCATGAAAAAATGGAATGGTTCCAAGTTAAACTTAGCACCAAGGATCAAATGTGAGCCAAAACACCCTCGTATTGAGAGTCAGTGATCCAGCCCAGAGCTGCCAATGCTCTTCAGCCACCCTGGGCAGGTACTTCAGGGTCCTGAGAGGCCTGATTCTGTGCACCCTGAGAATTCCTGTGCAGGATTGGGTCTTTCAAGTCCTGGGAGCATCTGCTCAGCTTTCCCTGTTTACAGAGACACACCCCTAGGATAATGCAGGATCAGGCCCCTCAAGCCCCAGGAGAACATATTACCTATTGTCCCGCAGCATCAGTGGGTAGGGCAACAGGTGACTTGGTTTTCCACAGTGAAGCAAATCAGCTGTGCTGGGATACATTGTGGCACAGCTGGTCTGCTTCATTTGGCACTGTCTTTGAGGTGCAGCCCAGAGTCTTACCTGTAGTTTGAATTTGGTCTGGAAACTGCAGATGAATTCTCTGACTTAAAAGTTCAGTGTTAGTAGCAAGGATGTGCAGTCTTTTGTCTTACTCAGTGCAATTTATTACTCAGCACCGAAACAAGCAACTAACATTATACAGACTGTGCAACTCTATGCTGCTGCTGAACATGTGTTAATACAGCTAATCTTTATCATCTCAGTTTGTTCCTGCTTTTCATGGTTTGTACCTTCTTGAAACTTCAATGGCTATTTATTTTTCAGCGTAATTTCTGTTTCAGTGAACAGGGGATACCAGCCAGTTATGAAAAGCAAGTCTTTAAAGTCTTCCCAAGGGCCTTGCCAATGCTGTTTAACATTATTTTCAAATATCAGTGTAAATAAGTCAAACGGTTGTTTTAAACTTTCTTTACAGAGAAACAGGAAGCTTGGGAAGGCTGATATCATCCTTAAATGAAAACATACTAGGCAGTCCTATGGAACTGGCAAAACTAAGTGTTCCATCAGTGGTGTATGCTCTGCAAAACAACATGGCTTTCTTGGCTCTTAGCAATTTGGATGCAGCAGTCTACCAGGTAACTGGCATCATGGTTTGGGACTCTGGTCTTCGGTTCCTTTGTTTGTTTTTTTCCCTACATTTAGTTTTGGCTCCTTTAGTGTCTTATAGAAAAACCGATGTCTCGTTCTAGCAGAGATGCAGTGCATGGCATAGTACAAGAACACATCAAGACAGTCCCCTTAGAGGATGGTGAAAGACATGATGCAGTGGCAGGCCCAGACACAAAAATTGTATAGTTGTCCCTGAAAATAGTTTCCCCTCCTCCAGCCCCCACTGAAGAAGATATAAAGCTTTTAAGGAGATTTCTATGAGTATGAGGATCTTTGTGGCCTGTACAAAAATGCAGATGTGGAGCTTCATACTTTGATATGAAATGTGATATACATTTGTGCAAGAAATGATAGTTTAGCCACAAAATAAATTTGAAAAAAGTTCCCATTCTTTGTAAAGGAAAATATTCATTGGATTCCTATTACATTGTATATAGCCACACCTAAGCTGATTTGCCATGCCCTTTCAGTATGCAGTTAAAAGCAGCTGTGGTGATCAACAGAAATAATGCTGGTTGTAATTCATAGCATGTTCCAGACGGTATAAATTTTCCAGACGGTATAAATTTTAAGCTCCTTGAGGGGGACGGTATAAATTTTAAGCTCCTTTTTATTTTTTCTATTTTTGGTGTTTGGCCAAAACTAAGTTTTTTGAAAACTTCTTATCAGTTTGAGCAATGAGACTGACCTGATAAATGATTTAGCTGGAAGATACTTAGATATTGCTGTGATGAGTGTGGTAGCAGAACCCCATAGAAGAGAAAAAAAATTGCTTGCAGTTGGTGCTGTGACCTACAATCTTTACTGTGATGTGTGTTACTAGAAAGCCTGAAGAGGCCATCTATTTAGAGTCCTTGGAGGAAAAAAATGAAATTCAACTATATTTGTAAGCAAACAATATACCACAAACAAATATGTTAAAATAACTCCAGTTATTAATAAAACTTTCATGAAAACTGTAACAAAAACAGAAAAACCCTGAAAATCATAATACTGATATATCAAAATGTGCCTTACACTTTATTAACTATCATAACTCTGATCCATTAGACAAACATGCATGTCACTAATATTCCATACACAGAAGTACAGAAAGAAAACACAAGAGCTGCAAAGGAAAGCAGTCAAGTCAAAAGATGCCAAGTTTAAGTGCATTTTGGGCATGCTGCTTACCTGAAACCACTGCTGGCTTGTTCAGTGGCCAAATCGGGTAGTGTGCAGTGAGCAAAAAAATGATGCAATATTGATTTTTTTTAAATAACTTAAGACGGAAGCAAAGGTGAAGAGTGCACACGGTACAGCTACAGTTTGCCAAGCCAAGATAAAAAAATGATTTACTCAGATAACACAATGCTTTAAAAGGTTCTTTGTCAATACCATTATACTCACAAGTCTGTGGCTGCACATAGTCTGATCAAGAAAAGCCAAATTCTGCTTTGGTATGGATTAATTTCAAATTGACATTGCTGTAATTGCAAATGAGATTCCTTCCAGGAGGAGGAGGCTGCAGAGATCAGCAAGGGATTCGTATAGGTTTCATTCTCCAATATCAGACTGCAGTCTAGAATAGAGTTCAACATTTTACTCATTATAACCACATTCTGTGTCTGCTATGTTCACTTCTTTTAGGTTACCTACCAGTTGAAGATCCCTTGCACAGCCTTATGTACTGTCTTAATGCTAAACCGCTCCCTTAGTAAATTGCAGTGGTTTTCTGTCTTAATGTTGTGCGGTGGAGTTACTCTTGTTCAGTGGAAGCCTGCTCAAGCTACAAAAGTACAAGTAAGGCTTGTCATTTAAATACATTCTATATTCTGTGTGTGCTTTATCTGAAACATCAGGCTGCCTCTAAGCTGCACTTTGCAGGGGTGTTATGAAATAGGTCTGTTTAACTGTTGAGTGGCCAGGGGCCCTGTGGGCAGCATTATCCCACCCCCAAGGGCAGGGGCAGGGGCAGGGGCAGGGGTAGGGGCAAAGGCAGAAAGTGGAAGTTGGAGGAAGGAGTGAGAGCCTGGAGATCCTGCCTGCAGCACCTAGGTGGAAGCCCATGGGCCAGGAGTTAACTGTATGTGGAAGGCTGTATGAGGCCCATGGGCCACTAGTTGTACAGCTCTGCCGTGCCATGTTATCCCATAATGTTAGGGCTGTGCTTCGTAGGCATGTATCCTTTTTCTTTTACCACTCATATCTGATAACATAAAATGTTAGCTGATCATTCAGTTATTTCTAATCTGATGTATACCAGTTTGGACAGGCATGTTATGCTGCCACATCGTATACCATTTTTGGAAAGGGAGCACAAGTTGCTGCTGAAAAAAGAAAACAAACTTAATATATTGGCAAATGCAACAGCTTAAAAAGGTATCTCAGTAATGTACTCATCTTGGCAACTGTCAGTGAGTATACTTGAAGATGGCAATGAGAGAGCTATTTCGTTCCTCATTCCACCTGTGTCTTCTGTTAATGTGAGCACTTAAAGCCATATTTTAGGCAGATGTGGCAGAAGTCTATTTCACCTAATGGATGATTATAAAATGCAGCTTAAAACTAACTAAACTGTCAGAGTGATTCTGTTATGCCCTCATAGGAATAGGATAGCCCTCCAGAGATGCAGTAAAATCTCCCTTTGCTTATAATGGTGGCATTTACACACCCACGGGGGTACAGAATTGCTGCTACACTTCAGCTGGGTAACTCAGAGTTAGCCTCAAGCTCCACTTTGGTCGTTCACTGGTGAAAAAGTATTCTGCTAAGGGTGTTTTCTTTTTTCAGTGATTCTTAGTTGCCAGTGTTCAGCATCTCTGAAAAGGTTACTTGTTAGGATGCCCTTGTGTAGTCATAAAACTTGAAAGACTGGACATAACCATTGTGGTAAACTGAAATACTGTGCCTCTGGGGTTGCTAATGCCCACTTGCAAGGAAATTGAGGGTTTAAGATTTATAAAGTACCTAACTGTGCAGATGGATAGCATATGTGAAGTGTTGCATCAAGACAAGGGAAAATAAGGAAAGCATGTGTGAGAGATGAGATTGTAAAAGAATGTTAGTTGTTTGCCTGTATGGCATTTTTATATACTGTACCAGAATATTTCCCAGCTTGTTAAAATATACTTAGCAAATCGAACCCTGCATCTAACTGTATTCAGGGAAGTTGAACTATTTTAAGCTTCAGGGTAGGTTTGACTACCTCCACGTACTTTATGTTGTAATAAAATCCTAATATACCTGCTGTTATTAACCAATTGGTTTGTGAAGTAATTATGCTAAGTAATTAGTATAGTAACATAACTAATGTACTATCTGTTTTTATGATTTGTGTTGCAGGTGGAACAGAATCCGTGGTTAGGGTTTGGAGCTGTAACTATTGCTGTATTGTGTTCAGGATTTGCAGGTAAAGCATTATTTTACAGGACAGCTCATTTCAAAAGAGAACCTTTTATAATGGTAAAACTAAAACAAATCCTGTCTTGTGTGATTTAATCATATTTGTTGATCAACAAGACAAAATGAGGCAAAGACTTACCACTCATGGCCCATAATTACTTTCTGTGTGCAATGGTTGTAACATTAGACTTCTGGCACCGTAATTACTTAGATAGACAAGCATAATATTTAAAAACAATCTATGCTGATTTCAAAACTGTCTTGGAAAAGAAATAGTAACCCACCACCCTTCAAATGCCTTCAGTCAGTTTAAAGGAAACTTAGTGACTTGTACAGTTTTTTCATGCTATTGCCTTTTGGAGGTTACTGTGGTATGCATGTAAAAGGCTTCCAATCTTTCCAGTGGGCAGTTAAGCTCCTCCATAAATTTTTTTGCTGGCTGAGCATCTGGAATGAGCCCTTTCTTGCTTCCATGAGAGGTGTTTAAAGTGAGAGGGGTTTATATGTAATTGAGATGGTAAGATAGGCAGCAGAATGATAAAAGACTTTCTTTAAAACATGGAATTTCCTCTTCAAGGAGAAGCTCTTGCTTTTTTTCTGTCCTTTCACAATGCAAGAACCAAAGAACTGCAGTAGGTGAGCTGCCAGAGGAAAAGTGCAGTTTTTTTGGATTGCATAATTTAAATTTGTTAACAGGGCTGTGGAGGAGCAAATATTTTTCTTGCTTTAAATGATAAGACTTCTGGCTTTAAGTTATAAATACACTAGAGCAGGGGTCAGCAACCCCCGGCATGCATGCCAAACATGGCACGTGAGATCATTTTGTTCAGCACGCCACCGCCAGCCTGGGCTCTGGGCAGCTGCTACCAGCCACGGAGCCCAGGCTGCTCCCAGCAGGTGGCTTGAAGGCTGCAAGCTCTGCTGGGAGCAGCCCAGGCTCCGTGGCTGGCAGCAGCTATCCAGAGCCTGGGCCGGCTGCAGCCAGGAGGCTGCAAACAGCTCCTCCGGGCCCCAGCTTCAGCTCCGTATTGCCAGCAGGTGTACACATGCCTCAGAGTGGACGGTGGGGATAGGGCCTGAGGCAGCGCAACCCTCCCCCACTGTCCACTCTAGGTACACGTGCAGTCACCACCAGCATGGAGCTGATGCCAGGACTCTGAAGTCTGGTGCAGCTGTTTGCAGCCTTCCTGCTGCCTGCTGCAGCTGTTCAGAGCCCAGGCTTGCTACAAACAGCTGAGCTGGGCTCTGGAGGCCCGTCATCAGCTCTGTGTTGGCAGCTACTGCATGTGCACCTCAGAGCAGACAGTCAGGGAGAGGCCAGGTTTGCGCTGCCTCAGGCCCCTTCCACCATTCACTTTGAGGCACACGTGCACCTGCTAGTATGGAGCTGATGCCACAGCTCCAGAGCAAGGAGGGTGCTAGCTGCCTCCCAGTGGTGGGGCTGGGCCAGGAGGTTCCACTCCTCCCAGTGCTGCCACTGCTGTCTGCCCACCCTGCACAGGCTTCTCTCTCTCCCCAGAGAAGCACAGGGGCTGTGGCAGGCGCAGGAGATTGTCAGGTTGGACATTGTCCAGTAGCCCAGCAGACCAGCTCTGTGTGCACATGCATTTGGTTCTGTGCATTCGTCTGCCTCTGTCTGATTCTGTGTGTCTGTGTGTGCATGTGTCTGTTCTGTGTGTGTCTGGTTATCTGTGTTTCTGCACCTGTGGTTCTGTGTGCGCACACGTCTGGTTCTCTGCGTGCCTGTGTATGTGTCTGGTTCTCTCTCTTCTCGCCTTTTTCTCTCTCTCTTTGTCCTCTTTTCTTGTTCTCTTTTTTCTTTTGCTTTCCTCTTTTTTCTCCTCTTTCTTTTTTTTTCTCATCGCAATATGCTTAACAAAAAAGGAATACACAACAACAAAGGTAGTATATGAAGTTTTATTTATTGTCACCAGGTTTAGAATTTTTAGAAAACCTGGTATTTACAGTAAAAAATAAAAATGGCAATTTTTATGATTATTACCTATATTAATATGCAGCACATTCTGCCATGTACCCCCTGCCCTGGTTTTGTTTTACTGACATGCCGGCACTCTGGCACCTCATAAGGTAGACATTGTGGCTTTTTTGGCACGCTGGCCAAAAACGTTGCCTACTCCTGCGCTAGAGTAATTGAATGCAAATTCTTCACTGTCTCTCTTAAGTGCATTGTTACCAACCACTTCTAGTTTGGTACGTAAATATGGAGCGTCCTGTGAGACTTGTGCATTAGTAGGTATGCTCATTGCTAGTCACAGACAACAGTCTCTAGCATTGTTTCGTAAATAAGGCTTTCTTTAGCTCTAGCCTTTCCTAGGCTAAAAAAATAATTAGTACAAATAATTCTAGTAGCTGCTTCTGAGCCCCAGTCACTTGACTCCCAATTGTCAAGTGAAATAACATACCTCGGCCCTTGCTATTCTTCCTCCAACAACCTGAGGAAATAGATGGGCCTGAAGGCCAACAAATTTCCTGCTCCTCAGGACCAGGCACTTCTATGTGATGCTTCAGAAGGTTCTTTTCCTAGAATAAAAGAGCTCCAGCTGAAGTTCTTCTCCAGCTAAAACTATGGCAATAAAGCATAAGAAAAGAGAGGCAATATCATCAGTATGAAGATCTCCAGCCATTTGGGGTTTTAAAGGTTCAGATTTAGTTGTATACAGAATTACTGTGAAGTCAGCCTAGGTTTCAGTATACTCCTGTTACATACTGCCATTTAAAATCATCGTAAAAGCAAGCTGCTGTATTTTCTATTAGCTTCAGTTTCTGGGACTGTCAGTCCAGAGTGTTGCATTTTTTTAGGAAAGCTCATATCTGAGAGAGGGTTGGAATCCCTTTTCACGCAAAGTTTGAAAAAAGACTACTTAAAGCTCTGCTATTGTGACAGTTTAAAAATAGTTGAGGAGCTGTCAGGTCTTAAAAATAATGAATTTGCCAAGTATAAATTGATAGAGTTCCTTAATATTAATATGCATGAAACATAATCTCCTGGACACTATCTCCATTTTGTTTTTTAAATGCATGTGACTGTTTTGTACATGTAGAAAATCTGGCATATTACTAGTTTGAAAAGAAACCTTTTACATTTGTGGTATTCTGTGTTTGTAGTATTTATCAGTTCTGTTGATTTTGAAGCAAATTATTGGATAGTTGATGTAAAGTAAATCAGCGTGTGAGACGATTCATTTTTCAACTAACTGCAAGAAGTCCACATCAGTGGATTTAAAAAAAAAACCTTTAAAAAACTTTTAAACAAAAAATTAAACAGACCTGAGACCATAATGCATTTAATAATCACTATATCAATAACATGATTATTTTGTTTAGACTTTAGAATATACCTGCACAATAATTTCCCTTTTTTAACATTTTGCATTTAAACACATGCAGGTATAAACCTGTTCGGTATGTATCCTACTATTTGTTGTGGTCCAAATATTCATTGTATCCTTCACAAGTTAAACTGATATTTGGGGTGGGGGTGGGTGGGGGGGTGCTGATCTTCAGAGAAGCTAAGCAATTGTAGCTCTGTTCAGGAAAGAACTGGTGCTGTGTGGCATGATCTCTGTTGTATGAGCACATGCGCCTTCCATTCTACCCTTTTTCAGTGGCAAAAGTAAAGTAACACTTAGGAAAGAAAAGCAGTATCTAAAAACATGGAAAACTGGAACTAGCAAGCAATATAAATTATAAGTTGCCAAGTATAGAAAACTGATAAGGGAAGATAAAAACAGGGAAATCTATCAGTAGTTGATAAGAACTTGTTACTTTGCCCTTTTAGTACTCTAGGAACCAAGATATTGAATTGGCTTATTATGGAAACATAAAAATGTAAATGATGCAGAGAAGACAAGAATGTTAAATATTTGCTCTGTAGTTGGAAACAAACAAGAGGATGTATTCTTAGATGAAGATGGTGAATTTATTAGTAACTAAAGAGATGTTAACAACTATCCTAGAGATAAACCATTTTTGAACTGGTGGAGCTGGCTAAAAGCCCACAACTCTTAGAATAGACTGAGATCACTAGCGCACTGATAACTTTTATTAAAGCTTGAAATTCAGAGGAAATTTGAGAAAAACTAAGGAATACAAATGTTGTGACAATATTAAAAACAGCAAGTGGCATGATTGGATAGTTGGAGGCCAGTTAACTTGACATCAGTCCTGAACAAAATTATGAAGACTAATGTATGTTTCAATTAATAAAGAAATATAATCAGTACTTGTCAGCATGACATTTTGGAATGCTGGTCTTGTTGAACAAACCTGATGGCATTCTTTTGATGAGATTACAAATGTGGTTTATAAAGAAAATACAAATCTTTGCAGTTATCATGATGCCTCAGAGAACCTAGGCATAGACCCAGGACTTTCTTGGGCTGTGGGCCATACAAACACTGTGCCTGCTTTGATGGAAGTCCAAGCCTAGGACAATTAGACTTGGGATAAAACTGTTTTTTACTCAGACTGGAAACACAATCCTGCTTAATCTAATACTTAGGGTAAAAACAGTGGACGGTGGTAAGATTTTTCCCTGGACAAAACCTTTTATTCCAGGATCCACCCTACACACAGTACAAGCCCATTGTTCCACATTAAGTCTTGTGAAGTACCGAGATAACCTTGATTTGTCTGGATAAGGAATTCATTTGAGTTAGTTGCCATTCAAGATGCTGTGTAAATCAGTGGTTCTCAATCAGGGCTCCATGGCCTTCTGGGGGACTGCAGGCAGGTTTCAGGGAGGTCTGCGAGGGGGCTGTGGATCTGGTACTGTTGTGATCTCTGAGGTCAGCTGGGCCTGGGCTGAGCCTGCCACCACTGCTGTCAGCAGGTTCATGGAAAACATTAGATTTTCCTTTAAAGGAGGAAAATGTGGGAAACCATGGGTTTCCCCTTGCAGGCTGGCAGTGTTTCAGGGTAATTACCACACTCCAGCAGATTCCAGCCTCGCATGTGCTGAAAAACGGCGAGGGGGCATTTTAACTAAAGCCCCATGCTGAAAAATGGCAGTGGGGGCGCTTTAACTAAAGCCCATTGAACAAGCTGCCATTTTTCAGCATGGGGACATAGATGCATGTGACACTTTGGGCACTTACAGCCACTCTAATTAAAGCACCCCTCCACCTCCTGGAGCATGTGTATGCCAAATAGTACTAGACTTTCTGATAGAAAAATTAGCATTATGCAAAGTACACATTTAAAGAAATAAAAACTGGCTCATGGACTTATCTTTGGGTAGTTGTTGTACTATGCATGAGGTTTTAATGCTCTCCATCTACTATCTAGAAGTAAAAATAAAATCACTCTTGATGACATGCAGATAACAGACTGTCAGAATCTTAAATAATGAGGAAAAAGTCTTGGGGAGCTATAGGGATCACTGTAAACAAGATCCATTCATACAAAATGGATTAATGTCGCCAAGTGTATAACCAAGGAATACAAGTTCAAACCATTAAACCAATGGTTTTCAGCCTTTTTTCATCTGTGGGCCCCTAAAACATTTAAAATAGAGGTGCAGTCATCTTCAATAGTCATTTTTCACAGAGCCCTTAGACATAGTCTGCAGACCCCTAGGGGTGCACGGATCACAGGTTGAAAAATCAGCGGATTAAACTATCAAGGGAAGCAGTAGGTAGTTCAGCTCTTGATTCAAATTAAGAACAGTCATTTTCTAGAAGATCAATTTCAATAAAACAGATAATTGGGCTCAATACAGAGCTAACTCAATGAAATGTAATGAGTTGTGTTATATTGGAGGTCAAATTAGATGATCTTAACGTCTTTTTAAATTAACCTATATGAATCCCTGAGTCTTAGAATGACATCTGAATTCTTTATGAAATCTGTCTGTCTCTCTCCCTTTAGGAGTCTATTTTGAGAAGGTACTAAAGAGTTCGGATACTTCCTTGTGGGTGAGGAATATCCAGATGTACTTGTCTGGGATTGTGGTGACTTTAGGTGGTGTCTACATATCAGAAGGAACTCAAGTTCTTGAGAGAGGATTTTTCTATGGCTATACATATTACGTCTGGTTTGTCATTTGTAAGTATTTGCCATCCTGTTTGCTGTACAGCCTTATTGGATATAGCTAGTTTTACTTTTAATATATAACCTATCTGCATAAAACTCACAGGCTCAGAGCATTCCCTTGCTTTTCTAAAGAAATTAGTTCCTCTGCAACTGCTTTTTCCATACAACCTGAACTACTGAGCAACCAACATTTTGGTTGCATCTAATCTGCTAGATGCCATTTCATGGTATGGTTTTAAATAGTGCATTATCAAGATTCAGATAATAGTGTAAATAAAACATGCACCTTTTCCTGTTCAGACTAATAATGACATCCTGCTTGCTTCTCAGTTCTTGCCAGTGTTGGAGGCCTCTACACTTCTGTTGTTGTTAAATACACAGACAACATCATGAAAGGCTTTTCTGCAGCAGCTGCCATTGTCCTTTCTACTGTTGCATCAGTGATGCTCTTTGGCTTACAGATAAGTAAGTTGCGTTTTTGGTTCTTCAAAGCAAACTCCTAATACAAATTCAGTCTTCTTGGGTAGGCTGGTTACAATACACACAATTCATGTGCTTTTGAGGATTTTTTTCCCCATCCCTACCTGGGGAATGAAACAGTAAACAGTACTCTGACCATAATCTCTCTTAGATGCTTCAGTCTTATGAGTTTCTGAAGTGCTGGATCACTTTGTTCTAAGAGAGGGTGGAGTTTTGTGAGGAAATAGGAGGAATTTACATCTAAAGGCTGTTTATCAAAAAAGTGTACTGGAGCCTGCAATTTTAAGGGGAAAGGTTTTAATCTCTCCTCCACGCCAATTTCTGAACCAACTTCTGAGGTTGCTACAGTACTTTTAACTGAACTAGTCCTAACTGCTTAATTGTTTTTAGTTATTTCTGAAAGGAAGGTGCCCTGTAATGGTAATCATTGCAGTGTGTGTAATAATACCAGTTACCCTCTTTTTTTATTGTGCTGTTGCTACCACATGGTTGAATGGCTCAGCAGATATTGGGCTCCTGACTTATACAATAAGCATCCTGAGGGAAGGATCTGATGGTCTTAAAGAAGGATTTTTTTGGACATTTTCCACTGTATTTGCTATTTTATATACTCATGGTTC